ATGTCGAACTTTAATAACTTTTCTAGTAATTTCTGTTCCCATGACATTCGATCTCTGAAATCATTAGGCACATCATTAATAACTATGCATTTTTCAAAATGAGGAATTAAAATGTTAAGGAATATAATATTTAAGGTTTCTTCAATTTTATCTTCTCAATTATAAATGAAGGGATATAATGTAGTAGAATATTATTTTTAATGTTTTAATAAAATTCCAAATACATTTAGAAAACTCATGCTATTCTTATGAATAACTGTTTAGAAAATCGTTTGATTTCTTTTTATCGAAATTATTGGAAAAATATACAATTTATAAAAAATACTTTTTGCTGGATATCCTTATAATAAACAGAGACATTGTTTATTTTAAACGAGATTATTTTAGACATCTAAGATCTAGATTTCATATTTCTTCACGAAAAGTATAAAATTATTCATAATTGCATTCAAATAAGCTCTAGCCACTTTAGAGCTTAGTTCCGGATACTAGAAAATGACCTATGATTGGAAAAATCGATATGTGTAAAACAGAAAATAATGGTTTACTTTGAAGGGAAAAAAAACCCACGTGTAGTTTGTCTATGGAAAGAACACCCCTCACCACAAAATCTAAGTCTGTCGCTATCTGTCTGTTGCTATGGAAACAAGAAACAGCGCATTTCAAAGAGAAGATTATTTCTCTCCTCCGATTCCCTTTCTCCCGTCGACCAAGCCATAACCTGCATTAAATATAGTTTCAAAATTAGTTACAAAGTATGTCAATAGGTGGCGCTGTAGATTAGGAAAACTATAAAGCAATGTTCTGCTACATCTCAGACAATTCCAGTTAAAAATATTTGCACGGCTATATGTACATATTTCTCTCAAATTACATTTCCTTGTTGTTGCATATAGGGTATGCCATATTTTAAAGTTTTTTTTGTCTACATCACTGTCTGTTAACAAATCTAATTTTAAATCTAAAATTTTCTTTTGAATATTATTCACAATTTTATCTTGAATTTGAACTTTGAATTTTCTGATTGAGGAAAAGCCTTTGGTTCTGTAAGCAGAATACAGTAAACTGACAATTGATTCTACAAATTCAATCTACATTCTTCAATTGATTCTACAAATCATCCGCCATTTTTAGGATGCCTGGTATAAAAAATAAGTATTATTTTTAAAACAAATGCCACAAAATAAAAATAAAAGTAAATAATATTTTTAGCTTTTAGTTTTTCATTAATATTTTTTCGAAGCATAAAGACTTACGCAAAAACCACGATTATCACAAACCGCAGGCAGGTAATAAAATAATATCTATATTTTATTGCTCATTGAGTGTGTTAAGGATTAATTTCTTTTTCTCCATTTGCGTCCGTTTTCTCCATATTCTTCATACAATCAATCTATTTTTATAAAAATCTTATTATCACATATTTAGTTAAAAATACAAAACTGAATCGTACATTTAATGGAACAAATAGCGTTTTTGTCATGCTCTAGGGCATCATGATGAAATTTTAACACATTTACCAAATTTTATCGCATATGTAATAAAACACTATTTTATCGTTAATTTTATAAAAATCATTACCAAAGAGCTGTTTGGTGTTGCCATAGAGCTAGAATAGTAGTTTTGACCATACTTTTTTTCTCATATATATATATATAGGGAAAAAGTTCCTTTTTTTCTCCATTTCTTATGAAATTTTTTGTTAAATGAAACAATGTAAAATATATATTTACCGCTTAAAGGCATTGGATTCTGCTTTTTTTCCTTACTATTTAACAAAACCAATCTTCCTAGCCGAAAGAGGATTGAATCATTTTGAATCATTTTCCACAAAAAGGGCACTTACCTTCAAGCTTTCACCAATATCTAGATTGAGTAAGATATTTGGCTTATTTCAGAAGCATTTCTTACATCAATATAAAGAAGAGGGACAAAAATAATGGCAAGCCTAAACGATCGAAAGAAACCACACATAGAAAGAAAAGAATTTCTTTTTGGCGAAGAACGGAAAAGGTATCGGGTCGAAATTGACAACATATGGGACAGCACCATAAGGACAAAGAATATAAGGAGTCAATTTTAAAAGTGCCTGAACTTGGTATGTCACATCCTTCTGACTGATATTGAAACTTCTGACTACCATTTTTCTGTCTGGCTGGTATTGAAAAATCAAGGATAGTAGATTCACTACAATCGTATATTGGAATTTTTTTTTTAGATGACAAAAGGGATCACGGCATCTATTCAGCCAAATGATAAATTTTGTACTGTAAATTGAACATATAAGGAATTTGAGTTTTAACCAGTTTATTATAAATCTGGAAAGAGACATTATTAATAAATGAATGAAAATAGATTTCTTTTTTTAAGATATTTTGTTCTTTTTTTTTATGTTAAAAGCAATAAAAGGATAGAAAAAATATAATCTGAGAATAATGTATGGTTACTGAAGTATAACTTTTAATCTATTCGTACTGAATGTACTGTTACTGAACTGTTACTGAATGTACTGTTACTGAAGTATAACTTTTAATTTCTTTTCTATAATATACTAAACAAAGTGTTTATATTCGCTATCCCCCGATTCTCCGTTTTTCTGTCTCTTTGACTTCTCCTAAATAGCAAGAATAAACTCTAATGGTTCACTTTACTCTAACTCTGCACCCACCAGCTCGTGATAGGAGACCTATACTTGAGTCATGATAAATGCTTCTCCGTTTTTCTGTCTCTTTGACTTCCCCTAAATAGCAAGAATAAACTCTAATGGTTCACTTTACTCTAACTCTGCATCCACCAACTCTTGATAGGAGATCTATACTTGAGCCATGATAAATGCTAGCCAATTAAGTCTGTAATTTTGCTAATATAACAATTCGTGTTTGTGTAATTTTTGTGAAAAATGAGTGCTAAATTCCTTCAACTAACACACAAAGTTTGTATTTAAATATGTCCTTAAAGTATTAGTCTCCTTATGTTTTAAATGTTTCTCAGTAGAGGTAAATGAACTTAATTTCATAAGTTTATTTACCTCAGTAGATCTACTGAGGTAAATAAACTAAAATGCTCGTGATAGGAGATCTAATGCTCGTGATAGGAGATCTATTAAGTTTAATAAACTTAATAGGTCTCCTATCACGAGCTGCACCCACCAGCTCGTGATAGGAGACCTATACTTGAGTCATGATAAATGCTTCTCCGTTTATCTGTCTCTTTGACTTTACAATAATAGCAAGAATAGCAAGAATAAACTCTAATGGTTCACTTTACTCTTAACTCTGCACCCACCAGCTCGTGATAGGAGACCTATACTTGAGTCATGATAAATGCTTCTCCGTTTATCTGTCTCTTTGACTTTACAATAATAGCAAGAATAGCAAGAATAAACTCTAATGGTTCACTTTACTCTTAACTCTGCACCCACTAGCTCGTGATAGGAGACCTATACTTGAGTCATGATAAATGCTAGCCAATTGTGTCTATAATTTTGCTCATATAACAAATCGAGTTTGTGTAATTTTTGTGAAAAATGAGTGCTAAATTCCTTCAACTAACACCCAAAGTTTGTATTTAAATATCTCCTTAAAGTACTACTCTCCTTATGTTTTAATATTTCTCAGTAGAGGTAAATAAAATTAATTTCATAGAATCATTTTTCGCAAAAGATGAAATACAAAATAATTCTAAATTCTCATTTTCTATAAGAAATAGACTTTTATTATCTTTCAGTGTCTGCGAAATTTAAAATTATTTAACATATTCAAGTGAAACAAAATTATAAAAATTCTTTATTGTCTTAAAAGTAGCTTGATTTACCTCAAAATCATAAGATTTAGTATTTTATTTTGTGAGAAAAAGAACTATTTCAGAAAACGATTTCATGATCGTTTTCATAACTTTTTCCAGTTTTCAATTCGCTCCTGCAAGAGACATTAGATTTATTTAAGCCACAATTCAGCAGCCAATCCGGCTCGAAACGCATGTGTGACGTCGCTTTCAGGTACCCAATTAAATCTGATCCGAAAATTGATCCAGCGTGATAATAAACCAAATCTAATAGCCGTAACATTAACACGCCAACTTGTTTATGCATAACTAGCTGGTTTCAGCTGTCTTCCTCTTCTTCTTCTCGAGTTACAAGTACCCAATTTTTAAATTATACTGTTAAATAAAATAGCGCATATCCTGACACACTTTGGACAGCAAATTATTTTTAAATTTTTAGTAAAAATTGTTCGATTTTTAGCACAATTGCATGGTTCTTATTATAATAAGAAATGTGAATGCAGTATTCACTTTAATTTCAACATTAATGAACAAAAATCTAAATTTGAAGTGATAATCATGTTCTAAAAATTGCAATTTTTACTTGCTGTAGATAAAACTGTAAACATTTATTTTAAATAATATTTTATTGTATTTTATTTCAAACCGTGCTTCGAAAGAATAGATCTTCATTCTCCGTACATAAAACTGTAAAAATTTATTTGAATCAGTAATTTTTTTTTTAATTTTAAAATTTTTAATATTAATAATTAGGTACCTGCAAGTGACGTCATGCGCGGGTATTGAACCTGATTGGCTGTTTAATTGTGGTAAATGAATGCATTAAAATGATTTAGTAATTCTAATCAAATTGAAGGCAGAACAAAAAATCGTTTAATGAATTTCATGGTAGCTGCTTGGAATTTTGCTAAACCCTTTGACGGTGCTGTGCTTAAAACACACATTTCAAACTTAATACTTTTTCACATAACAAATCAGTTTTAACGTATTAAAAAATTTAAAAATCAACTAATAGCATAACTTTAGAGCACAAATAATGTAGCTAACAAAAACCGATGATAATTTTGGCATTATAAAGAGTGCTATCATTAGCACTGAAAATATCGCAGGGGTGAAATTATCAGAGGCTCAAAATTGTTTTTAAATGTTTATAAAAAATTTACTAAAAAGACATAAACTTTTGTAAATTGTATCATTATAATTCCGTTCTCTTTTAGTTTTTCCAGCTTTGATAGCAGCAACGTGGGCCATTGTAAAAGGCCACTTTGGACATACTATTGATTCACTTGCACCCCAAGGGTAAGTTTTTTCGAAATTCTTCCATTTACTTTTTTAACGAACTGCAGAATGCTTCTATTAATTCGCAGGTCTGTTATAATAACATCTGAAAGTATAATGTGAATTAAGTATCAATTTAATATGTTGCGAAGCCGCCTTCACTTGTCATCATGTACTTCTGTACTTAAATATAAAAGTTTCAGAATCTGAAACAACTTTAAAAATCCTCATGAGGAATGTTCTTCAGTTGTAACGATGGAATTTTCTTAGGAACTTCGACATCTTTTTACTTTGCTCAATTAGAATAATTTGTTTGTTTTCTGAAGTTGTGTTCCTCGTTCGAAATGTTCTTCAATTCTAACGATGGGGTATTCCTAATGACTTCAACAATCTTGTACCTTGCTCCATTATTTTATTTTATTTTATAACTGTTTTTGAACAGCCCACCCGATTCTGGGCTTACGACTACCAACGGTACAACTCAGTATCCTTGTAATTTTGATCCCAATCCTGAAGACAAGGGAGCTCCTGGATCAGTACCCCCAGAGGTATTGATTTGTTATGGGAACATAGAGGACTTTGTGATCCAAAAGATTTAACGTGCATCTGTCACTATTTACTACACGGGGATCTTCGGCGGCGGGGATGGAATCCACCAGCTCTTCGACATGGGCCCAGTGCTCTACCAGCCAGGCTATCTCTGCCTCCTTGCTCCATTAGCGAAATTCGTTTGTTTTCTGAAGTTATATTCCTCTTTTGGAATGCTTTGGAATGCTCTTCAATTCTAGCGATGGGATTTTCTTAGTGACCTAATACCTTGTTCCATTAGCAAAATTTGTTTTCGGAAATTGTGGAAATGAATTATTTACCATTTTACGACAAATCCTTTGCAGACTCTTTTTTTCCTTCCAAAACTGACAAATTTGCTAAAGGAACAAGCTTTAAAGATGTCAAAAACAGATAATGGTTACTTCTAAACTAATTAGATGGGTTTGAAATCCAAATAGTATTTTCAAACGTTATTAGATCAGGCAATTACTTGCCGTAACTTATAATTGGTACACTAGTTTTGTTTGAATTGAACTTAAAACTCGTGTATGTTGTTACGAAATACGTTGAATTTTACTAATTTAGTACATCAATAAATATACTTACGTAAGCCGTTTATCATGAAACCATTCGTAGCAGGTGAGAGCTTGTTATAATTGCATTTTCATCATTTCAGAGTTTCTAATTTTTAAAAAAATACTGAAATAATAAATATTTTTAGTCTTTATGAGTTATTATTGATTAATATCTTGTTAGAGATAGTTTTGAACTTTGAGGCATTCTAAAAAGAAAAAAGTGGTAATCGAATTTGACCAGTTCCATCTTAATACCTCAAGTCTTATTTAAAACTGTATATACAATACATTTTTCCACCATGAATAAAAAATTCTTTACACAATATTATTGTTTTATATACGTATAGAAAAACTTTAGAACTAATTTTTTTTATTACAATTGCTATATTTTATAGTTATAATTAAATTAGATATAGTACGTATGCTTGGAAAAAATATGAAATAGATCTAATCCATGAAATTTTCGTTCTTCCGTAAGAAAGCTTTTTTCCCTAATGCAACCTCATAGTACCTTTTTGTGACAAGGAAAAAGAAAAGAAAGAAAGCTTTCATCGCACAAAAACTTTCTTGGAGCATATTTTGTCTATTTTTGTGAGACTATATCTATGAAAAGTTTTGAAAAGCCATAAGAGGAATGCCCCTAGGAAAGAACGTTGAAATCAAACACATTGTTTCGTATGTTAAGTGACATAAGACTAAAGGGATTATTCTAAGTTGCAATCTTATGTAAGTCATTTTTATTATAATATCGTCTGGTTCAAGTTCAGATCATCGAAAAGTATTTTTCGTTGATAACAGTATTAATAGAAATAGGATGCCTGCAAGTGACGTAGTGTGGGCATCAATGCTATTGCGCATGCTCACGGAGCCCAAGTGTAAACGAAATTTTCTCTAGATCAGTTTATGATATTATAAAATTATCTGTTTGCTTTGATAGTAAACAAATTATCTCCCCTACAAGTAGATAATTATATAATATTACAAATTTAGCTCGGGAAAAATTCCGTTTACACTTTTATCCGTGAGCATGCGCAAAGCATCCAAGAGATCACATGTCTGGATATAAATGATCTCCTTCTTCGTGAAGTGCAAGTACCCAATTCTATCTATAAAAGAAAGTATCCAAAGTCTCAATTGCCATAGTTTTCTTTTTATGCATTTTTGAAAGCATAATGTATGAAATTTATTTTGCTTTTCGTGGAATAATTATTTAGTTATGAATAAAATTAAAAATTATAAGTTACACTGTGCAATATGAAAAATTCAAAACTCCATTTAAGCTTGGGGACTTTAAGTATTTTAACAACACTCAACAATAACAACTTGCAAACAACAGAAAGGCAGTCTCATCAAATTAGCAAAGTCTTATTCTCGAAGTTTCGAAGCTCTAGAGGCATTTTAAAGCGAAATATTCGAGAATAGTAGATTGGCGACTTTTCTCGTACAAAATCAGTACGTGAGGGGCCATTTCGGTTCTGATACAGTAATCAAGCATTTCAAGCATAAAGACTCCCAGAATTTCATCTAAAGAACAGTAAAAAACATTCAAACTTGTCGTTAACGTTTTTTTTCAGCAGATTTTACCTTAAATATGTCGTTAGGTTTTATTCGTACAGCAGACTAAGTTTTTTTTAAAGGAATTATTTTTATTTAAGATTCTTCTCATTAATCCGGAACTTCAATATTTGCATTTTAAAAAACTAAAACTTGAAGATAAAATTTAAAAATTGGACTGAAAATTTGCTCATTTGAGTGACAAATTTCAAACATCTTATATAACTTAAATTTTTTTGAAATATATATAACTAGTTTTAGTCATATAACATAGTTTAATAGCTGAATTAGAAATCTAATGAGAAATCGTTAGAGATTACAATGCATAATATAAATTTTCTTTAAATTATAAATATAACTATTTCATGTAGTTTTGAATACTAAATTTAGTTTTCTTTCAGCTGTCCATGGCAGACAAGAGATTATTATGATTACATATTTATCAGTCCGGTCCTTCTCGTTTTATTAGTAAGTAAATTTGGAATATTTCTAATTTTTGAATAAATTTTAAATGCCAGAAAGGAAAATTTATTTAGAATGATGGTCTTCCGAAATCTGACAATACATACGGGTGATGCGCAAACAACGACACATTTATCTCTAACACAGCTGTATTTTTACTTCTGTGAACTGAATTAAAAAATCAGACAAAACACAAGTACGCTGTAGATTGCTCGCAAAAGAAAAAGGAACGAACATCCGGAATAACTTTTAATCTATTGATCGGATTTATACTCAGTCTTAATGGTTTAAAAGCTTAACTTCAAATATTCAAAATAATTTGCGCAATTAATCTTTGTTGTTGTTACATATGTGTTGTTGCAATATTATGTTATAATATTGCAACACAATGTTACAATATATGCATATGTTATAATATATGCATTATGTTATATATGCATACATAAATAAATAATACTATTATATTATATATTTATGTATGCAATATTATGTTGCGAAATCGAACAAAATATGTATTTTCTCTGAATTATTACCAATGATTTGACAAGGAGAGTGATCGAAAGTTTTGACCCGTTAATGTAAATTTCACTTTTTGCTTGTGTCGCCATATCTAGAGAACTTCTTAATAAATCTCGAACTAACAATAGAAACGTAAGTTTTTTTTTATTTCATCGAACTCTTTGTACACTTGTCTACACATTTTTCTAATTTTAAGTCTTTTAGATTTTGAGTAGTTAAAGCAAAATGTAACGTATAGCAAAAAATTGAGAATTTTTTTTTAGAAAAGACATTTAAAATTTCAATAATTTTGAAGCAAATTGGAAGTTTGGAAATACAAACTCGGTGTTAAGTTCATTAACAAATGTGACCTTTGATCATGTCAAATATGAACTCTGTAGTTGCATTCCTACTGCGTGTAGAGCGGCCGTAGGGTATTTTTTCAACAATTTTAAATGTTAATAATTCTCGAACAAATTATCGAATGCTATTTTTTATTTCACCATAATTCCTGTACACTTTTCGATACACCAAAGTAATTTCAAAAGCTTAAGTCTTATAGTTTTTGGGCAATAAATCAAAATATAGCGTTAAATTGAACTCCCAGAACAGCGTCAACGGCTGCCCTTATTTTTTAATACAGAGAGATATACTAAGTATACTCTAAATAGAAACAAATGTTAAATCCGTTTTTAAATGATCTAATATGCCCTTAAAAATATCAAGGAAAAAAAGCTTTTTTTAAAAAAAAAAGCTTTTTTCAATTGATTAATTACTAATTAATTTTTTTCCAATTAATTAATTATAAATTAATTTTTTCAATTAATTAATTATAAATTAATTTTTCAATTAATTAATAATTAATTATGAACAAGTAATTATAAATTAATAATTAATACAAGAATTATTTATTAATTTCATATTTAGTAAAAAAAAATAATTTCTATTATGCCTTTTCCAAAATATACAAATATCTCTAAATTGTATTTTGTTTGTTGAAAATTTTCTGTGCAATTTATCTTTAAGAGTTACTCTGTAAGCATTCACGGCTTGTGACATTTTTTAATTGTAAAGAACCCCGAATCAGAAAACTAATAATTATCTAGTTAATTGTCTCCTTGTCCTTAATAAAGTATCGCTTGATATGCAAAACGCAAATGAAGCAACCTGTTTAGTTAAATTTGAGAATACTATAAAAAAAATTGTATTTTCAATAAGCTCTAATTACATGAAGCTGCATTTTTTTCATCTTTAATTTGATGAATCTAGCCACGATTTTTCATCTTTAATTTGATGAATCTAGCCACGATAATCAAAATATTTATCTCTTTTGTTTTTCCTCCATTTCCTTTATTTTATTTTATCCTTTCCTTTTGTTTTGAATACATTTTAATTAAACTATGAAGAGACTGATAAGTCCAACAAGNATATAAATATAAATAAGTCAACAAGTTATTTTTATTAACGCCTGGAAAAAAAGTTATTAATGAAAGATTTAAAGTGATATAGTATTGCATCAGTTTTAAGTTTAAAATGTATATTTGAAGAAAAAAAATTGTGTTTTTCCTTAAGTTTACTTCTAATAAAAAAATTTTCATTTTTTTTTTCTGTGAGAAAATAGTCTTTATCACATTTGGAAGTAGAAATAAGTACGATATATTAAATGAAGCACTTGGAATTTTTTTTCTTTTTCGAAAAAAGTTTGAAGTACTGAGTCAAAAAAAATTATTATTTTTTAGTTGAAAGATGAATCTACAAAAAAACCTCTTACGTTGACTTAAAAACCCATATTGTGTTTCGACCCATTAAGAAATGCTTCATAGGATGAAAAGTCTACCGGATAAAGGTTTTACCCGAATAAAAAGACTCGATTGAGTTTTTCTTTCAAAAAGGAAATCATAATGATTATTTGATAGAAAAAATATCTATGCTTCATTTATTTTTTGAGCTTATTTTTGGAAAGAGTTACAGAAAATATTTTATATGAAACTTTTATTCTTTTGATGAGCTTTAATATTTACTAAAGGTTCGAAAGTTAATGAAAAAAGTTAAAAGATATTTAAAAATATGATTTAAAAGTGGATATTTAATTAATTGTTAATAATTTTTCATTATGTATGTAGATGGATAGATAGATAAATAATTTTCGCAAATATTTATGAATGATATTCATCCTAAAATGTCTTCAAAGGCAAACAACTATTAATTTGTAATTGGCAAAGTAAAAAAAAAAAAAAAAACTCTACTGCTTGATTATTATATTGAAGGCAAAAAAATTAAATGTAATTTATTTTTATTTTACTTTTAATTGCTTTTGCACCTTCTTACAATTAGAATTTCTTACATTTTAGAATCCAGTATTTTAATTAAATTTCTAGAGTATTTTAAAGTAAATAATTAAAAACGAAACGTACAATTAAAAAATAAATTATATTTTCTTTTAAATTAAATTTTCTCATGGACCGTCCATTCTTTTTATTTTATAACTTTTCATATAAAGAAGAAAATAAATTATTTAGTTTGATACTGCCTAAGATTTTTTTATTACCTACAAATCAATTTCTTTTATTTTTAAATAATTTAACAAGAAATTTAATTAAAAAAACTAAATAATAAGTGAAATTTTTTTTAATTATTTTTCTTTAATCAAAAACGTTGTATTTATGTGAAAGCTCCACTGCAAAGATTCCATTCTAAACTATATTGTACCCTAAGAAATAATTACGTGGAACTTACATAGTACCCTTTGGTAAATAAGTTTTATATTGAATGCAAAAAATTTTGTTCACTTAATTGTTAAACTAGAAGAGGGAAAATATGTGTTCATCTACTGTATGTTGAAGTATGACTAGAGAGTTGAAATTTAATGTGCTTATCAGAACATTAAATTTCAATTCTAAGCATGTTGTATTATAATTTAAACAAGAGGTTTTTTTTTTTGAAGAATATCATCAATGAGAATGTTATCAATGAGGATATATCAATGAGGAATGAGAATTAATGACGTAGGTTTGTGAGTGGAGCGAGCAGGAAGCGGATCCTCATAGTGGTATAAAAATGTGTCTCAATATAAATTGTTAACATAATAAACTACCGATTGATACTACCCAATGATAAGTGATATCTAACGCCACAAAATCTATAGATGGATAAAGATTGATAGAGATAGATCTATTTTCACGAACCCCCACCGCAAAAAAGCAGAAAAGCTTCTTACCTTCTTCCAAGAAGAAATTCCATATTTTTTCGATAGTCTTCTTGTTTTATGTCACAATGGAAAGAAATATGTTCTTGTTTATCATAAAACACCGAATATTTTAAGTTATATTTTTCTCTTCTAGCAATATTACTATATGCAAAAGCTAACTGTTATTTATACGTGTTTTCATATTTTTTATTAGAAGATTATCTTCAATTTTTAAATAAATCGTTTCAGTTTTTGAATTTAATTCTTAGCAATGTTATGATAAAAATTTCATTAATAACTATAAGCTATTTTAGTTTCATTTTGTCTTCAAACTCTTTCTTTAATTTTTATATCATATTGCTTTAACATTGATATTAATAATGAACTATAATTATTTACTTAGAATATATAAGAGTTTAGTTGCCTTTAGGACTCAAATGGCATATCTCACAGAATAAACAATGATTTTATTTCTTAAAAATTTCGAAAAAAAGAGTAAAATGTGTGTCAAAAAATTAATTCCATGGATAAAGAAGGGGGCAATTGCTAGATCTCTGGCCACTAGTGAACCACTGAATTATTCAGAAAAATTCTGCTTTAAAAAAATAGGGTACTTTTTTTCATTAAAATGGCTTTAAAATAACGTGCTTGCTTATTTTTTAGTTTAGTATATTTTGGTATTTTATATTTATTATTTCATAATTTAAAATTTCTCATATTTTATAATTATTAATGTATAGAGCTCAAAACAAAAAAAAGTGAACTCCCGGTATAACTTCTAATTTAATGATTGGATTTTTAAGTAAGGTGCAATCTTAATAGTTCGAGGGCCTCACATTGAATATGCTGCTTAATTAGCACAGATGATATTTTATGTTAATAAGATCACAAGCATATTTCATGTATAATCAGACACGATTTTCTTTGTGTAAACAGAAATTTTTTTCCGTTGGATTTGAATTTTTGGCTCTCAAAATATAGGTAAGCCCTAATCTAAAAGATATGATCCCTATAATTTGTACAGGAGATTATTCAAAAGTTTGGCTCCCCTTTTCTTAATTTTAAGTTTTGCATATTTCGCTACAAGGCTGATATTTGAAGGCTCCGTCATCATATGGAATTATGCTTTTTTTTTGTAAATAATATGCTATTTTTATAACTGCTATGAGTTTGTGACAGTTACTAACGATTGTTAGGCCAAGTTTAGCGTATCTAAAACCAGCGCTGTCTATACTTATTTTGAAAATGGCGCAAAACGTCAATATTCTTAGCAGCTTCTAGAAAAGCTTTTAGTCACATGTTTGTGTAAATAAAAAGCGTTTGTGGTCAAAGTGGCTTAAAAACTTATTCCAGTGCTGCCTGACCAGGGCTCATAAAAAATTTTGAAAACTGAGAATAAAGCGGTGATTTAGATAATTTTCATCTATGTAGAAAAATGTCACCAAATTGGCAATTTTTAAAAAAGTTTAATATTTTGAAAAATATATCAGCTATTTGTCCGTTCTAATGCCCCGATAATTCTTCACGACAAGATGATATATATAGTTTAAAATCGTCGCATTTCTTCAAGTGTAAGGCACTTAATCTGTGGCTTTTTTATTTCCCTTGGCGACGTCAGAGATTCAAAAAACAATGTTAAGGGGATCCACACAAATAATAAAATTTGTTTATCAGATACTAATTCCATGAAGAAAATATTTTTTTAAAAATTATTAATTATTATTACTATATCTTTTAATAATTGTCATATAAATTTTAAATTATAATAAAAATTTTTACAGCATTTTTAAGTATGTAATTTTATATATCAAAGCAAAAAATATTAACGAGATCGGTTGAGTAGTCTCTGAGTTACAAAATTTTACAAGACGTATGTTTAAAATCTTAATTTCTTGAGAACTGTTCGGCCAATTTTGTTTAAATTTGTACTTCTGGTGTTTAGAGTTTTTGTCCTTGCTCAGGATCAAGCTTTTGATCTTTCATTAATCACCCAGATGTAATAAATGGTAATGTGCTGTTCTGAAATTACAAAAGTCAAACTGTCTTTTCTTATCAGTATAAATTTGCATATTAAACTGATAGATTTGGATGAGAATTTTTTTAATTGTTTGATCTTATTTAACTATTAAAGATCGATATAAACCAAGACTATTGATCGACCAAAACCTAAGGGTCAAATAACCCATGACCATGAATAAAATGCACGTTATGAAACACTATAGTTTTATAACCGTCATTGAACAGCCGACATAATTTGGGGTTTACGGCTACTTATGTTCAACTCCGTAGCCTTGTAACTTTAAACTCAATCCATAAGACAAGGGAACTCCTGGATCAGGTATTAGAAGAAATTTGCCTTCGCGGAGAACTTTTTAATGTAATTAACTCGCATTTTCATGGAGACATGGAGAGGAAAACTAAGAAAACCTCCCTCGGTTAGCGTGATGGCAAGGGGACTCTAACCCATGATCAGTCTATCACTAAAGATATTTTCCGTCAGCACTATGGTAAGTGCGAGCCGGGGGCGGAATTTGTATCGACCAGCTATTGATGGGATTCGAACCCGGTTCACCTCATTGGAAGACTAACTCTCTATTCTTCTCCTCATTCGTGAATATAAATAAAATTCCAATAATTAGAAGTAACATTAGTTATTAATAATAATATTTTAACTATCAATTTTAAATGGGAAAAAATGAGGAATTTCGAGCATTTCCATTTTGAATGCACCAATTTTAACTCGTTGTAAAAATAAAAAGTTTTTCTCCTTATCTTACTTGAAATATTCTGTGACATTGCTAGCCTTAAATAATTTCAGAAAATTTTATTACTTAAATTTAACTTTTCAGAGAAAAGGATTTTTCAGAATTTCAAAAGTAATAAATCTTACAAAGCTTCCTGGAAAAAGATAAATAAGGTGAATTTCATTTCTCTAGCAAACAACAATATTACATAAAAATACCTTTATACGAAGAAAATTCTCTGAATCTTTTTTGAGAAGCAAGATCAAAAAGATAAATCGGAGCAGATCAAATCAGCTCACATATAACAGAATTCATTCGAAATAAGTTCATCACTATTTCCAGTCAAATAATAGATCTAAGAAGAATAAAACGCTCCATGGTTCCTTTCTGAAGAATGAATGAATAGGTCACGTGTTTATCTTACTTGTAGGAAAACAGTCCCTAAGTCTCTGATGAAACCTTTACCCAGAATTGTGTTTCTTTGAGTGGGACCTGAAGAATACGATTCCTTAAATAAGTTTTGCTTTCCAACTTAACTTACTGAAGCAGTCCTTCTCTATCAAATAACAACTAAATAATATGATGCGTCTATCTCTTTGTAGAGCACATCTTTATTCGATCGGAATCTAAATCGTTTGCAATGAGAAACGAATAAAACCATTTATAGGAACATTTTTTTCCTAGAGCACAAAACTACTTTAGTGAATGAGAGGCGTTAAAATCTAATATTCTTTATCATCAGAAGTTAAGTGTTGAAAAATTAATAAAGTAAAAGTTTTAACAAAAATGTAAGCTTTTTTTAAGAAACTAAAATATTATAAAAATTTAAATCATTTTATTTTTAGGCTTAAATTTATTTGAGTTTTTTTTATATATAATTATAAACTCTAAAATGTATCCAACAGTAATAAATCTTACAACACCTCATTCGGAAAAAATTTATAAATGTAACTTCCTTTTTTTTAGGACAAAATAATAGATATTGTACAAAAGATACTTTTATATATGAAAGTTCTTAATTTTTAAGTAGCGATAGCGAAAAGATAACAAGACGAAACACTGAGTAAATCATTTCGTTTATAGCTGATTCCATTTAAAACAAGTTCATCACTAATTCCAGTAAAATAATAGGCCTGGAAAGAACATAATGCTCTATGGTTCCTTTCTGATGAATGAATCAGTGGGTCATGCGTGTATCTTACTTATCAGAAAACAGTCTCAAGGTTTTAATAAAACCTAATATCCGAAATGTTATTTATTTGAGTAGGATATGAAGAATACAGTTCCTTAAATAAGTTCAGATTACTAACCTAACTTACTCAGGCCATCTTTTTTGTTAACAAATAATAAATAAGTAATATTATACGTCTACTCCTTCGTAGAACAAATCTTATTTCGATCCGAATTTAAATCGTTTGCGATGAAGAATCGAATAAAACTATTTATAGAACTTTTTTATTTTTTTTGGGAAATAAAAAAAAAATAGTGCGTGGAGTCCCTCCGCGCGGAATGTGGAAATGAAAATAGGAAGGGGTAGAAATTGATTTTTAGTGAAATCGTATTGTTTCTTTAAGACAAACTTTATTAACATTGCTTACAATTCACAATTGATCGCATCTTTTAACTTTCATTTTCGAGTGGAGAAATATCCAAATCTATAACATTTACAATGAGATTATGATAACTAAAGTAAGATACGAAATGTTTGAGTTTTATTTTTTCAATATTTCTTGCAAAAACTGCATCAATGGTAGTTCTCCCTTTGGTTGTTGAATCATTCCTACCATTTATTATTTCCAATCCAAATTTGTCTTTAAGGAAGGTTAATAATGTTTCAGCTTCAGGTAACGAGAAATTCACATTAAAATCTCCTGCAAGGATCACAGGCCGCTCGTTGCCATGGTAGCGTTAAACGTTTAACGCAACCTTGTTGGAAGTCGCATTAGAAGTTTCACTTCAAAAATAAATCTCTTTGAGTGCTAAGCGCTAAAATATTATATTCTTTATCACCAGAAGCCAAGAGTAAGAAAACTAATGAAGTAAAAGTTTTAGAAAAACTGAAGTCCCTTAAGAAAATTTAATACACCTAACAAAAAAATTAAGAAATCTATACACATACATCAAATCTTTTTATTTATTTATTTAACGCTAAAATTAAAAAAAATCCATACAAATAATTCAAATTTTTTTTATTTTCGTGCTTAAATTTCTTAAAAAGTTTCTTTATTATATAATAAACCCTAAAATGCATCAAACAATAATAAATCTAACCACGGCCAATTTGGTGAAGATTTATAATCGTAATTTCCTTTTTCTAAGACAGAACAATATTGTAAAGATATCTATTTATATGAAAGTACTGAGAGCTTTTGAGAAGATCGAAGAGATAACAAGGCGGAACAGAACAAATCATCTCGCATAGAACAGATTCCATTCAAAACAAGTTCATCAGAATTTCCAGTCAAATAATAAATCTGGAAAGAATAAAATTCTCCATGGTTCCTTTCTAAAGAATAAATGAAAGGATCATGTATATGTGTACATTACTTTCCAGAAAATAGTCTCGACTCTCTAATGAAACCTTTACCCGAAATCATGTTTCTTTATGTGGGACATGAGGAATACGCTTTCTTAAATAAGTCCAGACTTCTAACTATCTGCCTATTAAATACCTACGTAGGTCTTCGGTATAAAATAACAAATATAGAATATTATGCGTGTATTCCTTTGCAGAACAATCAAAAATCTATCTTAATCAAAATCGTTTGCAATGAAGAATCGAATAAAGTCATTTTTTTTTTACTCTTGAGGACAAAACTATTTCCAACTTCTGAGAATGAATCTAATTTAAATCTTCATTATCAAAAAAAAGTAGTTCATTAAAAATGTAAATCCTTTCAAACGAGAATAAAAAAATTATTAATTCAATTTATTTTACTTATAGGTTTGAATTTATTTAGGTTTTTTTCTGTTTTTCTTTCTCTCTCAGATAAAGCAGTTCAACGTTAAACCATAATATTAGTACTTTGAACCATAATACTGCGTGATAGGCATGATTTAATACAGTGTTAAATTGAACTATAATATCGTGTAATCAACAAAGTACAACATACGCTGTAGGTAAATTTTACCATATTCTAAGCATTTTTTTTTCTCAGTGCAGTATAAATATAAGTAAAAAATATCATAAATATAAATATTTTTTTCTTTCAGATTAATACCATTTTCCTTATCAAAATCATGTGGGTTCTCATAACAAAGTTACGAGCAACAAACACCATTGAATCTGAGCAATACAGGTTAGTAATATATTAAACTTAACATTTTATACTGCATGTAACATGAGANTATCAATAACCGTCCAGAAATAGCGTCATAGAAATGTGCGTCATAGAAGAATATAGCGTCATAGAAATGTGCGAAAATGCTTTCCATCTCTTAATTTTGTCCACCAGTGTACACTTTTATAGAATTTTTTTTATCTTTCTTGGGAAATAAAAATAAATCTCTGTGAGTGCTAAGCGCTAAAATATTACGTTCTTCATCATCAGAAACCAAGAGTAAGAAAACTAATGAGGTAAAAGTTTTAGAAAAACTGAAATCCTTTAAGAAAACTTTATAAACCTAACAAAAAATTAAGAAATCTATACACATACATCAAATCTTTTTATTTATTTATTTTACGCTAAAATTTAAAAAAAATCTATACACATAATTCAAATTTTTTTATGCTTAAATTTCTTAAGAAGTTCCTTTATTACATAATAAACCTTAAAATGCATCAAACAATACTAAATCTAACCACGGGCAATTTGGTAAAGATTTATAAGCGTAATTTCCTTTTTCTAAGACAGAACAATATTGTAAAGATATCTATTTATATGAAAGTACTGAGAGCTTTTGAGAAGATCGAAGAGATAACAAGGCGGAACAGAACAAATCATCTCGCATAGAACAGATTCCATTCAAAACAAGTTCATCAGAATTTCCAGTCAAATAATAAATCTGGAAAGAATAAAATTCTCCATGGTTCCTTTCTAAAGAATAAATGAAAGGATCATGTATATGTGTACATTACTTTCCAGAAAATAGTCTCGACTCTCTAATGAAACCTTTACCCGAAATCATGTTTCTTTATGTGGGACATGAGGAATACGCTTTCTTAAATAAGTCCAGACTTCTAACTATCTGCCTATTAAATACCTACGTAGGTCTTCGGTATAAAATAACAAATATAGAATATTATGCGTGTATTCCTTTGCAGAACAATCAAAAATCTATCTTAATCAAAATCGTTTGCAATGAAGAATCGAATAAAGTCATTTTTTTTTTACTCTTGAGGACAAAACTATTTCCAACTTCTGAGAATGAATCTAATTTAAATCTTCATTATCAAAAAAAAGTAGTTCATTAAAAATGTAAATCCTTTCAAACGAGAATAAAAAAATTATTAATTCAATTTATTTTACTTATAGGTTTGAATTTATTTAGGTTTTTTTCTGTTTTTCTTTCTCTCTCAGATAAAGCAGTTCAACGTTAAACCATAATATTAGTACTTTGAACCATAATACTGCGTGATAGGCATGATTTAATACAGTGTTAAATTGAACTATAATATCGTGTAATCAACAAAGTACAACATACGCTGTAGGTAAATTTTACCATATTCTAAGCATTTTTTTTTCTCAGTGCAGTATAAATATAAGTAAAAAATATCATAAATATAAATATTTTTTTCTTTCAGATTAATACCATTTTCCTTATCAAAATCATGTGGGTTCTCATAACAAAGTTACGAGCAACAAACACCATTGAATCTGAGCAATACAGGTTAGTAATATATTAAACTTAACATTTTATACTGCATGTAACATGAGAGCCGTTGGAGGAAGGGAGGACTGTAAGTATATTATGTTTTTCTCAATAATTCGAAATCTCTGTAAGTCCACCTCAATATTTCAAAATAAAGATTTCCCCCGAATTTATATAAAATTAAATTCCGTAAAGTTAATTCCTTAAAACAAGAAAGATATTATAAATCTTCTTGCAGATATTTTGAACATTTAAGATTTTTTTTCTATGTGTAAATTTAGAGAACTTTTGTGACTGTGTAACTTAATTTTGCGACCCTCATGCATGTATCCTAATCTTATAAAGTAATTTTCATCGTGATTATGTTCAACTAAGAAAACGACTTTCTACCAATGGCATCACTTTGCATGCTTTCACCATTAGCGTATGGAGAGTCATAGGAGAAGGAAGTACGTTAGTTTATGTCTTGATTTTCAAATAGACTAAAAGCTTTTAAGTTAAGAAACTATACGGAACTAGAAACTACATTGAACGTAGTTCTAAAAGAAAACATCTAACGAAATTTTAAAAAATATTTTTGACAATTAAATACGAAAAAGATTAAGAAAGGGAAAAATATCGTAGAACATTCCTATTCAATGGAGAAGAGGGAAGGGAGTAGGGTCAAGACATGGAACCGTTCTTCTCCCCAGATGGCGTATTCGAGAGTTACGATTGCTTCAAATAAGAGATCAAAAATTTGCTTCCTGTTTCTTTAAGTCGTTCGTATTGTTCGAGATATTTGAGACTTAATAATTCCTAGTAAAATTTACTATACTTATTGTATTTTTAAGCAAATTTTTTTCACATATGGACTATTTTTTCTGTAACTGCATTAAAAATGCTATACGAGTTCCAAATTTCATCTTTTTTCTTCGTACTTTAGAAGACTCTTTAAGGAATGCGTTTTTAATCTTAGTCTTCTTCTCTTTAGGAAAGCAGCCAAAGCTTTATTAGTCTTGATCCCACTTTTAGGAGTAACTTACATTTTAGTCATTGCCACTCCTAACCACAGGACAGGAGAAGTTATCTTTACTTTCATTCAGGCTACTCTTCTCTCGATTCAGGTAACATTTGAAAGGTCATTTTACGTAATACTAATTCATAATATAGCCGTGCGTGAAATTAAAAAAATGTGTTTAATATACTATTCTGTAACAAAATACAACAATTCAGCTTTAAATAACGTTAATATTAAAAGGATCTATATATAAGGCATGACCAATTATAAATTAATTTTTCATCATAAATTTGATTTTTTTAGCACTTATTTCTTTTACATTTTTACAATGGCAGCCAAACCATGTAAAACACGTGTTTTTTGATACATGATATAGATTTTTTTATATGTTCATAGTGCCCTACGCAAAAGTAACTTACGAACATAAGAAATAAGTTTCCCACCTCTAAGGGAATAACATGTACGGGCGCGCTCGTCTTGATAGAAGATACAACACAAAAGCTGACACATTTTACACAAGTGATAATACATTGTGCTGTCGTAATAATTGTCGTGTGCAAAATTTTAACTAATGAAATGCTTTGAATTAATATGCCATTCAATGGAAATTTTAATTTGAATACCAAACTAAATGACGTAAAAATGAAATTTAGTTTCAAAATAACAGGGTATTTAGGTTCTAGAGAACTTTCAAATTTTTTCCTGTTTTATTTAGGCAGCATAAAGTAAAAGCAATCTGCTTTGAAAGACCTGGAAAAAGAAGATATGCTGATTTTTAACACATTTCTGACTTATATAATCAGCTGAAAAGACTTGTTTTCTTTTCTTTTATTATTCGGGTCTACATATTCATGCGAACAATCATTTTCAAACATGAACCTTAGCAAGTGTAAATTAAGAAGTCGTGTTACTGATAAGAGCTTGGAATCATGCTTAAAATTAAAAACAACAGCATACATTCCTGAGTTACACAAACTTACCAAGGAGATGCGAAGCCATTATTCACTAAATGTTTGTTTATCAATATCATGATTTAAATTTTTGGGTACCTGACAAATTTATTTTATCAGTAAATATTATATCGTTATTAATTTCAGATTTTATTCGACATAACTTGTATATAGTTTAACCAATACTTAAACATTAAGTTAATTTTAGAGATAGTGTTAATTGAGAAAGATGAAAAGAGGATTTGAACATATAGAGAAGATGAACTAAAAAATATGTACAGTGCGGCAAAACATCGGATGGCCCTGAATAACTTTTTAAGTCATGATCGGATATTCAAGTTCTCGGACTCAATCTTAATGGTTCGAAGGGGTTACCTCAAATATACTAATTAATTAGTGCAGACGATATTTTAACTTACGAAATCCGACACAAAAACGTATTTTCTCCGAATAAACATATCTCTTTTTCGATGGATTCGGATTTTCTGACCCCCAAAATATAGGGGGCACCTGCAGTCTGGCAAATATGGTCCTCATGGTTTGGTCAAGAGAGTGATCCAAAGTTTGGATCCCTTAATATTAATTTTTGCGTATTTTACCATATCTCGCAAACTTTTTAAGCAAATTAAAAAAAAATTTTGCACACAATTATAAAATTCATTTATTCAAAGATAATTCCATGCAAAAAATAAACTTAAGTAAATATTTTTTATTATTTTATTTAATAATAGTCGAAACTTTTGAAATTTAATGTACAAAATTTTACGTCATTTTAAAGTACGTAATTTTACATAACAAAATACAAAATTTGAGTTAAATCGGCGGTATAGTACCTGAGGAATCAAATTTTATAGAAATTGTATATTTAAAATTAGATTCTTAAAAATGATGTAAAAAATTTTAAGCCTTATAATCGAATAAAATAATTACTGTTATTAAATAAAATAATAAATATTTACTAAAAGTTATTTTTTGCATGGGATTGTCTTTGGGCAAACGAAATTCAAAATCGTGTGCACCCAATTCGATTAAAAAGTTCACGAGATATGATGAAATACACAAAAAGTATACACGGTGTGTGGCCAAATCTTTCATCAAAAAATAAGTACCTTTTAAGCGCTCAAAAAGTATTTTTAAGCACTATACACAGTAACAAAATGCAAAATAATTTTCAAAGACTTTACATGATCATAATAAAATGACTAGTTTCTGACAAAGAACTCCTTCTTTGATTATATTAGCGATTATAAAATGATCAAAAGACTTTTCGGTTCGATATCGGAGGTTGGAAAATGAAGCCTGAAATTGAGAATATTTTGCAAAATGCAGCAGAGTCGCACATAAGAGAGCAAAGAATCTCGCCGAATCAGCTCAGTCGACGCACATGTGGACTCGCAATTACTTCATCAAAGCTGTTACACGGTTAGCGCTTTCATACGCTACCTACCGACGGTACACCGAAATGGATTGTGGTTGAATGAATTGTAAAAACGTTGAATAGGACAATGCGAAATGCGTGGCGAAAATCGACATGGTAAAGAAAAAAATATCCTTTTCGGAAATGGAAAATTAAGCACTTTTTAAAAACACCCAATGAAAAAAGCACCTTTAAGGGCTTTTAGAAACGAAAATAAGCACCTTTAAAAAACGCTACGCACCACGAGTAAAATTAAGATTAAGGGGTCCAAACTTTGAATCGCTCCTTTGATCAAACTATGGGCCTATTTTGAGGGGTCAGTAATCCGTCAAAAAACATATGTTTTTCAGTCAGAGCTAGTACATTTTTGTATCTGATTTCGTAACTTAAAATGTCGTCAGCATTAATTAATTATCATAATTGATGTCATCCCCTTGAACCAGTAAAATTGAGTCCTAGAATGTGAAGATCCGATTATTAGATCAAAAGTTATTCAGGGTGGCCCGTCTTTTTTTTTTTTTTCCTGCTAACCTTGTAGTTTTCAAAAATAAAATAAAAAATCTAATTTTTTTAATCAAAAAATGATACCGATCTTCTATTTTTTAGGGTTTTATAGTGGCAGTACTTTATTGCTTCCTGAACGGAGAGGTATGTAAAAATAAGCCACACTGTAAAAAATTCCTTATCAAATTACGGTAAAAGGGATTGGCACCCCAAAAGCCAGTACTTTTTACAGTTCCATCTTCACCGTAAAATCTTACGGAACAAAAATCTGATGTACCGTAATTTTTACTGTAATAATTATTGTAAAATTATTATGATTTAATATTGTTGTAAAAATTAAGGTATACATGTTATTAATTGAATATTACTGTAAAAATAAAGGTATAAAAAGATGCTGCAGTCAGGATGCCAATATTTTTTACTGGAATGTGATCCGGAATTTTTTACAGTGCAGTTCTGACATTGAATATTTCTCATATCTTCTATATAAATTTTTATTCCGTTATTTAATATGAAGCTTACGATAATGTTTTGATTACAAACATTAAATAGAACGGAACAAATTGCTTGTTAATTACTTGGTGGAATTCCTGCCATTGTTTTAATACCTGTTAGGCCTCGTGAAATATCTTACCTTAAAGCCAAATTGCTCCAATATATATTCTTTAAAAGTTTCATTTTTTAATGAAACAAATTCTATTTGTTATGAAAAGAATTTTGACTCCTCTTTGTTAGATTTCTTTCAAATAAATGTATACTTTATAATCATTTACACAATGAACAATAATCAGATTAACAAAATGTTAACGACATATTTCATGTTATTGCGCAACGTGCAGAAAACTCAGAGTAAAAGAATTACGTATGAAATCTCAAATAAAAAATACATGTATTTTAATTTTAATGGACTAAAAAATCTGAACTTATCAGACAGCATCTGGAAAATTTGAAAATATTTGATTTTGTCATATCTAATGCCTAATATGTCAAATTCGGCTGAAGTGAACTATATAATTGAATTATAATTAATTTTAATTGGATTATAATTAATATATAGAATCACATATTAGAAAATGTTAATTGCATTATAGCAATCTTCGAAGTCTTTGTAAAGACATTCTTTAAAAGTAAATATGCTATGTTTGCAATTGTTTCCCAAAAATATTAGCAACGACTTTGTCAAGTAGGTTTTAAAAGATATGCGAGCAGAATACACAATGTTAGTTACTTGAGAAAAAATAAACATATATAAATATTTCGGGTGCTTTGTAACCGCAGTCTTTAATAAAATTTTATCGAAACTAATCTTTGCCTTTTTAGAATCTTTGTCAAAAATGAAGTAAAAAAAATATATTTACACTCACACTGGGGGGAACATGCATTCATATTTAAGGGAGGAAAAAAGATTAACGATATTAGAACCTGATGGACTATTCAATGAATAAGGCGCGGTTAAGAATATCAAAATCAGTTTGATTGCCGAAGGAAACTAAGAGGAGGTAAGAAGCGGCTGTTTGAAATTCATTTAAATTAATTTTACAATCAATTTGGTTAATAAAATTTAATTTCTTCTAGCTTAAATTTAGTCTGAATTAATTTAATTGTTCGACAAGTATTCTAAAATTATGCGTAAAGAGCAGTCATCAAAAAACACTTTGTATTAAAAGTAGTTGCCAATTTTCGGTAACTTCAAATACGATTTGCTGGGCTTGACAGAAGGTATGAGAGATGGAATCATTCCAGATTCTCTTCATTAACCATAAAAGTTTTTTTTTTTTAAATGAAGTACTTTAAACATATTTTTAGTTTTACATTTACTAAACAAAGTGCTACTTAATCACGACCCTTAATATATATTTTTAGAATTCTAATAAGAAGTGACGTAATAATTTGTTTATGTAATTTTTTGGGGGAAACAAATCAATGTTTAAGCGAGAAAAAACGATATTAAAACTTGATGAACTATTAACAAGGAAGGTCGGCATAAAATTATCAAAATCTATTAGCTAGAGAAAATTGGAAGGGCTTTGAAAGGTGCTAATTAAAAAATCTTTTCAGTTTCATCTGGCGATCAAAATTTCTTTTTTAGTGCCAATTAAACTGTTTTTTAATCTTGACATTTTCATTAACCTGTTAACCGGGGAATAAACTTTTGTTCAGTTCGTTTCACAATAGGAATTGCTTTGTAGTTATAAATAATATCACAACACCTTAAGTAATTTCCTTGATGAAAAATGACGTTGTGCCCATTGCAGTAGTAGGTTCAACATAATATTTCGTCATACCGAGTTAACAGGCAAATAGTTAACCAGATTTCGATAAGGTTTATGTTCTTTCTTCTCATAAATACCAATTTGTGATTCTATGCGCATGTTTCTTTTGTGATAAGGATTCTAAAAATATATATTAAAGACTGTGAATGTCGAACACTCAGCAAAATCATAATTAATATTCAATAAATTTAGGTTCAAAATTCTGTAAGACATCGTTTGGAACGCTGGAAAATACGAAGAGCAGTGCAATATGGGCAACACCATTCCTTGAATTGCCGATCTTCACCACACGATGAGAAATTCTACCAAGGTCGGAATGTACGTGACAGTTGCATCAGTTTCGCTACTTCCACTTCTTTCATCAATTTCCAGTCAATTACAAGTCGTTCACCGTCTATTCCAGCTATCAACAAACTTGAAAACTGTTCATCTCACCCAGAAACAATTTGCGTCAAAGATGATATTGTGTGAATCAGAATTTTCGACATTGGCATTGTATATTTTATCATTTTATGTTGGTTATTATTGAATAAAACCAAGATCTTTTTTCGTGTACCAATTTTTTTTATTAGATTTTGACGTTTCCTGTAAAACAAATTTCAAAAACATAAAAATTAATAAACTGCTGCGAGAATGGTTGAAGAACTTAGTGGCGAAAGTTACTATTGAGAAATAATTCAACAACGTAGAAGTTTTTACGGAGAGATATTGAAGAACTAAGTGGAAAAAAGTTATTAGAGGTCTTTTATTTAATTTTATTCTAGCAATATAGAAAATATAACATGAAGCTACTTACAAAAATATTCTCGCATTAAATAAAGCAGTTATTTAATGACCAGGCAAAAAAATTTTTTTTTACCTCATTCAAACGTTCAGCTGTAACTTGGGGATTTGAAACTCTGGTGAAGCTTAGGAAACAGGTGCATACCTGCCAAAAATTTTATTTCTATATTTAAAGTGGTAGTAAAATGTATGCTTTCTATACATTCCTTGCATTTATAAATTTCATTTATAATCTTTTTGACCATCACTATTTCTAAAAAAATTAAGCAGATACATTAATATTTAATACTGTAGTGGTAGTCCCCATGAGCTCTTTCAAAATGCAGCGTATGTTTCTGCCTAAAATTGCAATTTAAATTCCATTTTACTACCACTGGGGTAAATCATCCCCAAAAGGATAAAAAAATGGCAGGTATGCAGGTGTAACTTAGGGATTTGAAAGTTAACTTTTGAAACCCCCAATTTTTTTAGGCAAATTGAAGAATTGACTTACACACCAGCAATAAAAAGGGACATTTGTTGATCTTCACAAATAGATGATTCATAAACAATGAGATAGATATAAATAACTCTGCGTCAGTTTACGTTTACAAATCACTCATTAGAAAACTATTTTTATTATGTTATAAACAATTAATTTTACATTTTTTCTAATTAGGTCCAGGTATTTTGTGTAAGGTTCGTTTTTGTAAAATTGTGAAAAAATTACTTGTCATTTGCGCATATAAAATAAACGTCAAGTCACATTCTTTCAACCAGGGTCCACTTTTGTGAATTTGTGCAAATAGGGTCCGTTATTGCAAAAAAACTTTTTCAAGGAGTTTTTAAATTGTAAAGACATACAAGATTATGCTCAACAATGTAAAATTGTAATTAAAAAATTAAGTTTTAAAAAATAAACAGCATTTGCAGCTACTAAATTAGCGATGCAACATATAAATATTTGGTATTCAGCCTATACTGCTGAATGCAGAATAATCATTTCGGATGAATAAAGGAAGAAGCGTCTGCCAAAGACAAAATTTAGTTCGTTTACATCTGTCTTTCTTCCCCCCCCCCTTCCTGGGAAGGGTTTATTTGATTAACAAACAAATTTGTGAAGGGTCCGATTAAAATATAAATTATTTTGTGAAGGGTCCGTTTTTAAGTTAAAATATTTTGTGAAGGGTTTGTTTTTATGAAAAGATATTTTAACGGACCCAAATTTCTTCTAAACAGACTCATCATACTTCTTTTACAAATAAAGGTTTTTTTAGAAACAATAATTAAAGTTATGTACAGAAAAAAATTGAGACTAAGAAAAGTCAGGATAATCTATTAAAGAATATTTCAAAAAATATAACCCAACGTAAACTTTGAAAACAAACTATGATACTACAAGTTTAAAGATCCTAGATCACCATATTAAGCAGTGTTGTCATATGGATCGCACTTTGAAATGGATTCTACATCATTCTCCTCAGTTGAGTACCACATAAATTCGTCTTCACCCCCCATCCAAAGATTTCGAAACTCAAAACTTTTAAACGATTTTACAATAACATTTCAATTCACATTTTCCCACGTGCTTCATATCATTACACACATGATGTTTATAGAAATAATAATTTACATACACAGACAGTTGTTGACTTGTACACTTGACAGAAATTTTCTATCTCGTAATAAAAAAATAGAGAGTTGACTTTATATCTAGCAGTGTCGACTTATAGAGTGGAAATTATACCTCCATCGCAATTATTTGAATTAAAAAAGAATATTGTGTTAATGCAAATTTTCATCACCAGCATTTTTGGCATTTCATTTTATGTTGAAATCACTATATAAAACAAAGTCATGTTTGAAAATCTGCAATTCTTATTATCCCTAAATTATAAGTTAAATAAAGTTCTAAAACTTCCAAATAGATAATTGCAGATTACCGAGAAACAATTGGTGCAAAAAAGTTGCCTTGGAATACAGAGCATTTTATGTAGAATCCTTATCTCTTTTCATGTCCTGTGGCACATAAGACTCTCAGTCTTACTATCAACTCCCCCCCTCTCCATCCTGTGCCATGTTAGTTTTGGATGTCTTCTCCATTGCTATTTCTCTGGTGCTCAAGACGACACTAGAAATTCTATCCCTATCTACTCTTAATATGTAGATAAAAAAAAACCTTCTGATTTTAGTTTCTTCCTCGATGGGTCTTATTATTGTTTTCTGGAATACCATTTCATTGGTAATGGTGTTAATCCAAAACATATATTTTGAAAAAATAAATTTTTTTTTTGTGCTTCAGTCAGTTTTAATATTTCTGCACTGATCTTATTAATGATTTACATAAATTTAATATCACTTTGAAAGTCATATCATTCACTATTATAGTCACAAAGACGTAAGACTATTATGTTGCAATTTTCTAAATTACAATTAGTTTTTACGTTTTATTCCACCTTTTATAAATTATGAACAACATAGAAAAGAATTAAAAATTTAAAGGTTTTACTACATAGCAAACATTACATAGTGGGTTAAAAATTACAAGGCTATGAAGCTGAGCATGTATAGTCGTAAACTCAGAATCAGGTCGGCTGTTCAATGCCGGTTATGAAATAAAATATCCTGTTGAAAAAATAAAGTTTATTAATAGGAATGAACTAAAAATTGGACCACCAGGCATAATATCACATTTAAAGCAATGAATAGACACTTTTTTTCAATAGTTTATTGTTGCTCAATAAAGATTCACAACAATTTCTGAAAACTTAGATGTTAAATAACATTTTAAAATATAAATACAATTGGTAGTAAATTTAGCATGCTAGGAAAAATTATTTAAAAAAAAAGAAATAAAAATAAGTTATTACATCAAAAATAAAATTAGAAAATCTAGAACATAAGATGAATAATAAGAAAACAACATATTTCTTAAAAAAGCAAACTTATAGGCTTTGTCCAAAAAAGGCATCAAGTAGGAGAAACTCCCTCATATGACTATATTTTTAGGCTCCAAAAATATACCCCCTAAAGAAGAGAAAAACATTAAATTTGTAATCAAACTTTAACACTTTACATAACATGGGTCATCTGACAATTTGGAGTCAGCATTTTTTTTAGTCTTGCTATATCTAGAACAATGATTTTAATCGTTTTTCTTTAAGCGCTACTTTCAGAATTACAACAGTCTTAAAATGCAAAATATCCAATTTTCACAGTCTTGCAAAACATTTTACATTTATTGCGTAGAACTTAAAAAACTGTTAAACTAAATTTTAGTGTGCTTATTTCAAATAAGAAAAAAGTTCTTTATCTGTTAGCTTTATTTTCAAAAACTTGCTGTAGTTTCTCAAAATTCAGCAACTTTTTGAGTAGATTCAATGAGCTGTGCTAAAATTTTAAGATTAAAGTGAATTTTCCTCAGGTATTAATAATAATATAATGATTTTAAAAGTTTAGGTGAAATATAGCAGAAATCAGTTTAAAAATTCCAGGAAATGACCATAATACTGTTAAAAGTGCATATTTCACAACTTCAAAAGTATGAATCTTTTAAAGTAAAGCCTATAGAGTAAATCAGCATTCTAGATAAAGTCAAAATCAGTTAAAAAATAATAGGTTCCAAATTGAGTGCTGGTCTATGTAATAATTTCACAACACACATACTAGAATGTACTTTGAAGAAGAAGAAAAATCAGTAAGATTAATGAAAATTAATAGACATTGATGAATATTACAATATCTAAAAAAAAGAGCTAAGAGAAATTTTTTTTCATAACTTGATGTAGCTAAATAAACATAACTAAAATCCGTTCTAAGATCCTAGGCACCAAAAAAGTATTTTTCTCATAAATTATTGTAATTAATTTTTCAATACGTGATTAATAAAAAAGAACTATTTACAAATATAAAGTAAAATGTCAAAAGATTAAAAGCTCTTGCATATAAAAAGCATTAAACCTTTGAGCTGAAATAAGTAGGGTTTTTCAGGAATTGAGTAGTCAAGTGCTTATTATTAAATATAATCGTTCTATCTAAATAATTAATATCTTACTACTAAAAGAAAGCATTAGCATAAATATGAATCCTTGCTCTTATAAAAGATAAATTTACTCATTTCTATCAACTCTCTGTCAACATTAATTTAATGCAAATTCATAAATTCACATTTAATTTATGTATATCTAAAAAAACTAATAATGCTCTCAAACTCTATTGTGGAAACATTCTAACTATAAGTTTTGAAATAACAAAAACAGCAATAGCAATGCTAGAAATAAAGCTAAGGACACACACACACAAAAAAAAAAAAAGATGAAAATAAAGTAAAAATAGAAATTGTGACATTTTTTAACTATGTTGCATAGTCTATCATAACAAGTAACACATAAAAATTAATCTTAATCATTAAAAAAGTACTTGAATGTCATATAAAAGATACTTAAGCATCATTGAAGGATCATTTGAATGATACATAAATAAATAAAAAGTATACACATCCATTCAAAACTTTACTAATTTAGCTAAAATTAAATTACTATTAACTAAGCTGAAATCAAAAAGAAAAAAAAATGGCATGTTTTAAATAAATATTGATAGTAGATGAATTTGCTTATAATAAAACAGAAAACATAAAAATTTCTTGGAACTGATATTTTGAAGACCAGGTGCAATCAATTCCTCCAACTACAAAGCTTGATTAGTACTGTAACTCAAATTTTTTTTGTGGTCATAAAAATTTTATTAAATTTCAAGTAATTTTTTTTCTTAATCACATAAATGATTTTTTTTTATCCCTTTAACTTGATATTTTTTTAAAAGATCACAATATTCTTTCAGAGCTAAAAAATGCAAACTATACACAACCGAGAATATAGCAATTTTTTGCCTCTTTTCTTGTATTCTAGACAAAATGAAAGGATAACTGCCGTCGGGAAAGAACAAACTTGCTTAGTTCAATCACATAGTTGGCATTGTCATTATCAATAATGAAGAATACAGTATTGGAATTTAAAAATATAAGAATTCCATCTCTATAAATCCATTGTTCTGAACGAGTTTGAATGGAAGAAATGTTTATGACTAACGATGCCCTAGCAAAAGTTGAAAAAATCTTAAATTTGGAAATAAAATTAATCATATATAAGGATAGATATCCAATAATAAATAAAAGTATAGTATTTTCTTCCTTTAAAACTTTTCTTAAAAAGGTCTTTACATTTAATATATGACCCAGAATATTATTCATATATACTTAAGCTAAAGTAATCAACTTAGTAACTAATCTAAGCAATTTTACATTCATTTAAATCAACAATAATCATTTTATTGAAATAAAAACTACAAAAACAGATAGGAAAATTACTTTTCCATTTTATCATCATCAAAATATTTATTTACATATTTCATACTAAAATCATATATTTTACTAAAACTACTGGTAATATGCATCTTATTAAAATATCTAAATCACTAACATGTATAGATTTTAGTAAAAAATAATAATTTTTCACATAAATATACATTTAGAAAAATACTTAGAAAATTAACTTTTGATTAAGATTACTCACTTAAATAACCAGAGTACAATCATGATGATAATAGCGATGACAAAAATAATGCATCCTACAGTGAGGTATCTTCTCTAAAAATAAAATAAAATTTATTGGTTTTTAATAAAAACAACAAAAAAAACTTGTCAAAGATAAAATATGATTCAAAATTAAAAATTTGAACAGTAAAAAGTATACTTGAATAACATTCTACACATATATATGACAGATTATGGAACATTAACCATTATTAATCCCAGTTCAGCTCCTTAATTTTCTTAATAACATCAAAGAGACAAGAAAAATTGAAAAAATTTAAAGCAAATCTAAAACTTTCACAACATATAAATAAACAGTTAATTTTTTACAACGAATAAAATTTTATTTAGAAAAAAAACAGTTTTGAAAAATAAAAGAATCGTTAGTTCTCTTAAATATTTTGAGGATTTAATAAATTTTACACAATACAAAACATTATTTTTCATCCTTTATTGTTGGCTATCCTAACAAATCACCACAATAAAGTGCACAGCTGCAGGAGACGTTTTAAAATTTTCAATAGTAACATAGTTACAAGTTATTCATAAAATGTTATTATCTTTACTCTACCCTAAAATAATGGAAAAGACACTTTCAGTTTTTTAAATTTTTCAAGAAATACTTAGAGAATCATTTTATAACTTTAGAAATGTTTAAATCATGCACTTTCTCATACTTATCACTAAAATTCTCATACTTATCACTAAAATTCACTATTTCCAGATATCGGGAGACTGATAATTAATTCTGAACAAAAATAAGTATTTTGAATATCTTATGCCAAAAAATAAAGCAATAAACTATTAAAATGTATTGATAACTTTGGTTGTTATTTCCAAAAGCAGCATAAAATACAGTATACCTATATTTATGGAGATTGTTCTAACAAACTAATCCATTGTTCTTTGGGTTTTTTTACCTTAATTTTAAAAATACTCTATAAAATTTTTGAACTATTAATTAATTACAAAATGATCATTAAGAAAAATTGTGTAAGATATAAGTATTAAATGTAGTTACTTCATAATGCACATGCACGGAAAAGAATATAATTTTTTTCCCCTTAATTTTGTAGTGAATCATATTTGATAATTAATTAAAAAAGTTTGATTTGAATATCTTGAAACTGTAAAAAGTTTCTAGCAATTTTCAAAGTAGTTTTTATATTTTTTAAAAAGAAGCTCCAAATAATGAGGGGTTTACCACAAATTTCATTTTGTATTGTTAGACAAAATTTAATAATAAATTATAATACCTCACAATAATCGTTAGTACATCTAAATGTGATGTTATAAGGGAAGAAATAAAATAGACTTTTACAAGAGATACCCCAGTGTAAAATTTGCTTAATAGTTCAAAATAAAATTTGGGGAAAATCTTTTATCATTTAGAGCTATCATTAAAAAAGTACAAAAATTACTTTAAAAAATTGCTAGAAACTTTAACATTTTAAAGATATTCAAATTGGACTTTTTTCATTATTTACTAAATGCAATTCACTACAAAATTATGAAAAGAGATTTTAACTAGTATGAATGAACTACTTTAAAGGATCATATCTAAAGAAATTTTTAAAGAATTTCTTTCAAATTTTAAAAGAATAACTTTATTATTAATTGAAAATTACTCCAAAAATTTTGTACAGTTTTTTTCTAATATATTTAAAGTTATAGCAAAAAAATGTAAGACAAAAAGATGTTTTTTTTTATTTTATAAAAATGTCTATATCTCCAGAAATATTTAAGCTACATTTAAGAAATTTTATACGATTATTTCAAATAACAATCAAAGTAATTGACACAAATTACAAGCATATTGCTATATTTTTGCTATAGAGGGTTCAAAAATACTTATTTTCGTTTATGATTTACTGTCGGTGCTTCAAACCAACCTCTGAAAGTTATAATATTAATTGATAAGTATGAGAAATCATATAATCCAAACACCTCTGAAGTTATAAAATAATTCTCTAAATATTTCTTGAAAAATTTAAATAAGTGTCAAAAACTGTAAGGTTCTCTTCTATTATTATAGGGTAGTGTATTTGTAAGTACTAGAGATGTGAATAATGAAAATTGTAACTAAACAATTTAAGGGCTTGGGACAATAAGCCACATTTTACATCCTACTGTTCCTTTGTACAGTTTCACAGATAGTTGCTTTTTAAGTTACTGAAATTTCAATATAACACCATAATACACAGAAACATCTTATTGCCTACATGGAAATAAAAATTTCAACCGAAAAGGCTCTTTTGAAACACTTAAAAATGTGGCTTATTATTATATTGTTTTCTATGCCATTCAAATAAAAAACTTAGACTGTAAGTACAATTTTAGTGAATTTCGGAGCATCATCATCTTCTTTAGCACTAAAGAATGCTTTCAGCTAAGGCTTATGAAACATCAAGCTGTTAATAAGAGAATCCATAAAGATTTCTTTATTAATAACATAATTGATCTTAAGTTAGATATAAATAGGTCAATTGAAGAAAGTGTTTCACATAACATAGTTCCTATATATGAGGTAAATATGATTTTATTAAATTACATGTGATAAAATTTCAGTTGCGTTATATTTGATACAATCTGCATGTATTACAAATTTATTTCTAAAAACTGATTTTGAAAAAGAGTTAAGGCCTGTTTACATGGTCCAATTTCCTGAATTTGAGAAATTGGACGGACTTCTCTGTCCAAGAAATTGGATGATTCGTCGACACTATCCAAGTTCTTGAATCTCACTGATTCGTTGAAAGAAAAACTTGCGCATGCGCATTGTTCATATTCAATATTCTAAAATAATACTTACATAAGTTTAAAATTATTAAATAAATTCAAATGAAATCATAATAACACAAATAAACCGCAACAGATCAATTTATTTGGACTAAAATATATGAAAACAGACAACAAAATGACATAGTTTGCTGCCTGCTTGTTGACGTCACAAAACCTAAGACGCTGATTGGTTAAGGGAGAAAAAATTTGGATGGAAAGTAGAACATGCTCTACTATCGTCCAAGAAGTTGGACCAAGTTCTTGGATGGTTGTTTACAAGATCCAAGCTGAAAGCAAAACAAGTTTCCATCAATATCAATCAATCTCTGTCCAAGAAATTGGATCGTTTAAACAGGCCTTTAGTTATATACTACTACTAAGCAAATTATCATTTTTGTTTGTACCAAGCTGCTAAGATAAGACAGATCTCTGTCCAAGAAATTGGATCGTTTAAACAGGCCTTTAGTTATATACTACTACTAAGCAAATTATCATTTTTGTTTGTACCTAGCTGCTAAGATAAACATTTTAGTTACTTTAAAAAAATATTACTATTTTCATACTTACAAATTTAGAGGATCTCATTTGGTTTTCGTATCCTCTGATTTCTCTATTTCCAGACAAACTAAGCTTATCAACAAATACTGAATGCTTATCAATTCTATCCATCATAGTAAACTGGAAATAACAAGTTTGGGTATTTAATAGAAGAAAAGTAAAATGTTTACCTAATAAATCTTTAAAGAATATGGTGAACATTAAGTTATTCCTTTATTTCACTTTTAAACTAGCATACATTAAGAAAAAAAAATATGCTTGATTTAAGTAACATGAATTTTTTAAGTGAAACACGATATTATGTTCACAGTTTAAGTTACTGATCATATCTGAGCAGCTTAAAAGTACTGCAAAATGTTTAGAAGACAATGAAAAGCACAGATTTTATTAGTCCTAATCACTGATTATTAATATGTCACTGATTATAATTCTGATTCTAGTACTAAAAATATTTATTTATTTCATATATATATATATATTCTTCTTAGGCACTGCAGCCAGTTACAGGCCAAGGCAGTTTCAGTCAATTAACTCCATCTAGATCTATTCAATGCTATATTTCTCCATCTTTTCTGTCCAGGTCATCTAGATGTGATCCGCCCGATTTTTATTTCCCGCAATTTCTGAATAGTTTTTTTATGGGGTCGGGTTGTTAGTCTCGTGCCCAGCCTGGAGGGACAGGGTGTTCCTCTTCATCGGGTGTCTCCCCATCGGCCTGCCCGGCTATATATACATAGATTTATTTATGTTCATATTTGACATATATTATACACATATATATCTCCAAACAACTAAATCTTATTTTTATTAAATAATAGATCATTTCATTAAGTCCTAACTGCCTTCAAAGACTCACTGCTTCAGGGTTCTTCAACATTTTAGGCACCATTGCCTAAATTTGAAAATCAGACTGTCAGGTTCACTCATAGAGTCAACATCTACCTTCATAGTGAATTTCTAGTTTGATTGCATAGACACCCAGACTAATTTATCATGTTTGGTGCATGCAGAATGATGTGGTCATGTCTGCTTTAATATATTAGTTAAGATTAAATTAATTAAAATTAAGGCAACATATGAATTAACAAAAATTTCTGTACTGTTAAAAAAAAAAAATGAAAATTACTGCTTATAGCAGGAATGGCGAACCAATGGCACGCGACATAATATTTTGGGCACTCCACCAATCACAATTGTTGTTACACTATGAATTGTTATTACACATATGTTATTACGCTATGAAGCATATGTAACAATTAAATTAAAATTCACAAAAAACAAACAAAATATCAAACAATTATTAATAAAAAAATTAAAAATTAATACTAAAAAACAATTAATAACCGTAAAAAAACAAGCTAACAATAAATAACTAGCAAAAAAATCAAAAGTCCTGCTTAAACTAACATCTTAGAACCTAATAGTTATTGGTCATCTAATCTGCAACAACAGAAGTCACATTGATGTTACTTTAAGTTGAATTACTTGTATAACTGAGACATTGCAAAATGTATTTTTTTTCAATGTAAATAGTTTTGAGTTGATAGTATTTAGTATTATTATTTTCCCAAGAATCGCGAAGTCAAAATTATTTGACGGCACGTCTATGACCACATTAAGCAATTTTTTAGAGAAAATGGCACGTTGGTGTATAAAGGTTCGCCACCCCTGGCTTATAGCTTAATGAGACATGTGTAGTTTTGATTACAGCACATTATACCAAAATAAAAAAATTAAATTTTAAGGTATATGATAGTATCTTATAAAATGTCTTTTTGTAACAAAACAATTCCATTTATTTAAAATTGAAATATTTCGTAAGATCAATACGGTATAATAATTTGATAGTAACTAATTTGAAAGGCTTTCAAAATATTAATTTTAACCCAGATAATTTACATCAACTTAATACTGCATTTTTATTTTTAAAGTTACATTAAGTTTATGAATGTTGTCATCAAAATATTGATTAAGTACAAAAATTTCATTAAAAATTCAAGCTAAAAAAATAATTAGCTTACATCAACTTGAACAACCAGAGCAAGTTCAAAAAACATTTCATGCAATTCAGCAAGAGACTTTTCTAGCTTTAAAAAGTCTTCATGTCGTCTCTTTATTTCAGATAAACAATAAAGAGTCATGTCAAAATCAGGAAAAACCTTTAACATAGCAGCTTTTTAATGAAAATTCAAAATACATACCTTATTAAATAAAATAATAAGCTAGAACGAGAAAAATTAAAAAAAATAATTAGCTAAAATTATAACAGCTTTTTTAACAGATAATATAAAGCCCATTAAATTTTAAAATAATATCTATTAATCATAAAAAGTGAATAGTTAAGGCACTGGTCTATCACTGTGAAAGACAGGGAATAAAACCTACCCAGCTTTAGATTAATTACTACCAACTAGTCTGAGAAGTCTGGTACATACAGTGTGCAAAAAAATTTAACATGTCTTCCTAAATAACTTTTGATCTAATGATCACTTTTTCACATTTTAGGACTCAATCTTAATGGTTCAAAGAGGTAACCTCAAATATGCTAATTAATTAGTGCAGATGATATTTTAAGTTACGGAACCCAACAAAAAAATATACTTTCTCTGAATAAATACGCCATTTCTTGACAGATTTGGATTTCTGACTCCCAAAATATAGGGGGTAGCCACAATCTGTGAACTATGGTCCTAATACTTTAGTCGGGAGAGCAGTCCGAAGTTTAGACCCTTAATGTTAGTTTTATTTATTTCTCCATATCTTGAGAACGTTTTAAGCAAAATGAAAAATTTTAGAACACAATTATAAAATCTGTCTGGCCAAAGATAATTCCAAGTAAAATATAACTTTCAGCATAAATTTGCTATTTTTTATTATTTTATTTAATAGTCGAAGAAATTTGAATTGTAAAGTATACAATTTTTTACATTATTTTAAAGAATGCAATTTTAAATGGCAAAATACGAAATTTCAGCAAAATCGGTCGAATAGTTTCTGAAAAATCGAATTTAAATTCGCCTAAAAGCTTTAGAGATATGTTGAGATGCACAAAAAGTAAAATTAACTTTAAGGGCAGTCAAATTTGAAACTCCTCTCCTGACCAAAGTAGCATCCTGACCGTATTTCCTAGGTTGCGGCTACCCTCCATATTTTGAGGATTAGGAATAAAAATCTGGTGGAAAAAGTTTTGTTTGTTTAGATGGAGTAAGCTTTGGTATCTGATTTCCCAATTCAAAAAATTGTCCACACTGATTAATTAGCATATTTGAGGTTATCCCTTTATCTTAGTCCTACTTTCCAATCCTAAGATCCAAGCATTAGATCAAAAGTTATTCAAAGTGGTGAATTTATAATTTTGTACACAGTACAACTAGTCTGATACAGAATGTTGCCATATTCCTTTTATCATGTCGTTGGGTTTGAAATTGTGGAACCTTAACCTCCATGACCTGGAGGTTGTTATTTTGTTGTTGTGATTTTATTATTAATAAAAATAAAGCTAAAATCAACCAGCATCAATAAGAACTACAAAATAGAGTCCTAGCAATTTATGTTAAGTATTAAAAAAAAACAATTGCCAACAAAGATTACTGTAATCAAATTTTCTAATCATTACATCCCACTTATTGTTAGAAAAGGAAAAATGTTAATATTGAGATCATAATTGAATATTTAAATTTTGTGATGCTACGATGATAACTATACTGACACTAAAAGTCTTTTACTATGATCTCCTGCCAATTCTTTTTTCATAATTAGTCAAAAAATATTTCGTTTTGGTAATTGTTTATACTGATCCCAACTACCATTGATTTCAGTTAAAAAACAATAAATCAGAGACAAAAATCTTTTAAAAGAATTTAATATTACAATTTAGTATATTAAAATATACTTTATTCTTTGCTTTGTGTATGTCAGTCAATTATCCTCAGATTTGACCCTTTACTATTTGGAAAACATAGTTTTAACTAAATTTCATTATAAGATAAATTTTTTAGAGGCAACAAATTCTTTCATTTTATAAAAAGTAAACATTTAATTTCCATCATACAATTTTAAATTTCTGTCTACCTTGAACAAATGCTTATGGCTGTTTGATATGGCTTTTATGTTCTTTATGGCCTATGTTATGAGTGTTATGTAAGGTTAGCAGCAAAGTTTTTTAAAAATTTCAGGAACTTCTTCAAAAAATTTTAAGTAAATTTTATGGGTAATATATGATTTTTCTAGGATAAAAACAGGTCATGCCATAGTTTATTACATAACAGAAGATTATTCCTACTCATCTATACACATCAGAAATAATTGCAAGTCATAAAATAAATTTCTGAAATTTATTAAGTCAAGAATGAAATCTCACAAGTGTAAAAATGAAGTATCATCTGTACATAGAATACATACAATTAGCAAAAATTAAGGGCATAATTCAAGAACAGGCAAAAGTGAGAAAAAATCAAGAGAAAAAATAAATAAACACCAACTTGGAAAAATTAAATATACTTCATTAAATCCAAAACAATTTGTAAATTAAAATGTAACGCCAAATAAAAAATTAAGGAATATTTGACTAAAACATTATGAACTTAAAACTATTATAAGCGATACATTTATTAAAAAAATACACAATCTCATTTCTTTCCTATTCTTATCAGATTAAGTATACAGAAAATGTTTTAATAATTTATGAAGTAAAAATATGCCAGACAAAAACAGTATCAATTTAAATATTAACAAAAATAACACTGTCTTAAATGGTATATACTTTAAACAATTCAAATTCGCATATTTCTGATATTTATATGTACAATTAAAGTACACAGAAAAGTTTCCAAAATCATTTATAGAAAAATAAATTTAATGTCAGATGAAACTGAAGGAAATCATGACAAAAATCTTGCCAACTTAAGTTACATATACTGTAAACAATTCATTTTCTCATCCTCTGCCTAAATCAATTGTTGAGACCACACTCAATCTTGCACTGGAATCCCTCAGTCGTTGGTGGGAAGAAACTAATGTGGTAGTAAATCTGAATAAATGAGCCACTCATACAAAATACATTTAAAATGCTTGTTTTTCTTTTCAATATACAACTTTTTAGGTCAGGAAATAATTACCGTTTGAATAAATATATCAGTCTTCAGTCCCATAGCTTCTTCAAAATCTATCCTTGCTAAATCAGCTCCAGCTAATAAATATAAATACAGCAGTTGAAAAATGACTGTGCAGCAATATCAAAATAAATAAAATAAATGTATAATTAAAATTTTATAAATTTTTCTCTGAATTGCATTTAAGGGAGTCAATATCACCCTTCTTCTTACCTGATTCTGTAACTATAAGGGCTACCAATAGATCCCATGCCTTATTTTGTGGTATGAATAAATTAGTGCTTTAGAAAGCAAGGTTTCTTGATAAATATACCAATAAAATTCACACAATAAACATATTGTTTAAAATACATACTTATGAGCAACAAAATTTAAAAAAAAAATATTGCGATTATTTCAGGTAAATAGTCAAGCTTTGCACCTTGCTTTAACTACAGTTAGTTCTGCATAACAACACTCCCATTTTTAAAAACTATGTTTATAATCTTTAAAAACATGCTAAAAATTTTCTATGGCTGCAACACAGCAAATAAAGCACTGCACATACAAAAAATTTACAAAAGTGTATACATTATTTTTAATTATTAGTAAAAACTGTAAAATTCTTTTCTTTATTAATAAAATAATTTTTTTAAAAGAAATTAAGAATATATATATATAAAAGTTCCATACCAATACATTATTTTATATTATTAGTAAAAACTAAAAAATTCTTTTTTTTACTAATAAAATAATTTTTTTAAAAGAAATTAAGAGTATATATATACAAAAAAGTTCCATACCAATTTCTGCACGCCTCCTGACCTGAGCTTTGCATTTATCCTTATACTCTTCTTGAATACTGTAATAACGAGTAATAATACTTGCCAGTTTCTTTTTCACATACATAATCTAATAAAAAACAATAAGTAAGCATTGAAAAATTATCCCCATAATTACTCTTTTGGAAATTTTTTAAAAAGAAATTCTCTCTAGTTTCTTGAAAAGTAACTCTTTCCAAATGACAAAAGTAAAATACAATTAATACATAGTCATAGTTTTACATAGTTGTATTTATTTGTAGTGGATCATTAGACTTGTAGATTAATTATTTGTGAATTAAATATTCTTTCGATAAGTAAAAATAATTAAAAAATTTTTGAATGCAGAATTTTTTTTTAATTTCAAATATTTTTCTTTAGCTACTTAAATTTAATGATACTCTAGATATTATTATTTGCTTTTTTTTTAAAAGAAAAAATAGTATACCAGAGCATGTTTCTGTTTACGACTTTTTTATATCAACTATTTCAGCTGTTTTAGATAAGGTTTATGAATTAAAAATCACTATATTGTTCAAAATGTTTCAATTAATTAAAAAAAAAAAATCAGTGAATGAAATTCAAAATTCTCCACAATCAAGCTATTTTCTCCTTTCTTCGTTTTTCCATTTTGAAGGACCCAATAAAAAAAACTCTTTCCACACTATTTATATTAAATTGTATAATATATAATTTCAAAATGCATAGTCAAAAGTTTTTAAAATTGTTTTAATTCATAAAACATGTTTATAACACTTGATATTATTATAGAATCCAAAACAGCTTAACATTAAATTAATTCTATTTTTAAGACCCATATTGATTATACTGCTTCTCTTTTTTTATAATATATTTAAAATAACAAAAAAAAATGTTATTTTCATGACTTGTTTTTCTTCTGTTTGTAAAAGACACAATTTTCAATATCATGGTATATATTCAAGAAAAATCTGATAAAAATATTTTATTTTAAAAAAGATACATTAGATTTTCAGGAACAAAAAAAATTCAAATGCTAAAGTACATTGCAAGATTGATATACTATGATTCAAAACCAATTGATGTCAGCATTTTATAAATCCCTTTTTTATCTAAAAAAATGCAAAAAGAAAACTGAAAAAGTGTGGTTTATGGTTTAAGTGAATTTTAAATATAACGAAAACATGCATGAATTTTCAAAATATTTCAAATCAAGAAAAATAGCAAGTTTTTGGAAAAAATTCTTTCAAAGACAGTTAAAACTCATAAGTAATGACTATAACAGAAGTGAAGGAATATATTTTTCGTTAGTTTGAACTTTTTTGACTCTTTACAAATGACATAACCATTTATACTATTCAGTACAAACCATTTGTACAGCTTGTATGAACACAAACACTATCAGTAAAAAAAAAAAAAACTATATAGTTGCTTTTTTTTAACAAATAAAAACATAGTCCTATCCATAAAAAGTACTAATTTTAGATGAATCTAATCCTTTACTTATTAATAACTCATTAACTTATAGTAGAAAGTATTTATAGGACTAAAATATACTTGAGTATTAAATATGCGCAGTTCAGTTTCAGATCCAGTAAATTTTTGTGGATCAAATTTGCTTTCCATATCTGAAATATAAAATAACAAATTAAATAAAAAAAATCTTAATTAACCTCAATAACTTCCCCTTTTCAAAAATATTTCCTTAAACATTTAACAAATTTCTAAAATCTGATTTAGATTTTATGAGCCTAGACAGCCCAAAAAATAACTTTTTAAACATTAAAAATTTCTATCACATTTTCACAAAACTGTGACTTCTCCAAATTAGTTTCATTTATGTTTTTGTAATCTTCTTTGAAATCTATGAGAGGGATTTATTAAAAAGGATTTAAACTTTACTAGAAATTTTAAAACATAATTAGAATAGATTTTTGTGCAAGCTTAAGTTGGCACTTAAATAAAATCAAAAGACATACGATACTTCTAAAAATTGATTAACTACATTTTATAATTGAAAATAAAATCTCAAAAAAAAGGTACAAGGAAAAAAAGGTTTAATTTAATTAAAAAATTATAAGAAAAGCTGTTTATGCTACCTGCTGCCAATTGTTTCCTTAACATTAAGAAGAAAAAAAATCTGACAAATTTATAAACTAACAAAAACTATTAGCAGAAATACAAACTTGTTTTATTATAAGAAACAATGAACTTTAATCAATAGCTCACTTCTACATAATAACCATTAATCATAGAAAGATGCAGGTTATATGAAATTCATGTCCATTTTCTAATAAAACATTATAAATTTCGGCACAGATAAAACTAAGAAAGAATCCTCTACTACAGAGAAAATATAAAAATTGATCCTGTTATAATTGAGATAATCATATATTCAACACAAAATCAATGAACATGGAGAATTAAGAATTTTAAAAACAATTTTTGTTTAGGGAAAAAGATGTCTACGCTAGCTCTAGTCACTGCAAGCAATTTAGCATTTATACATAGTTTGCAGAAGTATGGTTAGCAAGCACCTATTGATACCATAAATAAATGACTTTGCTATAAATTCATATTTTGAGTGACTATTAAAATGAAAAATAAACTTCAAAAGAAAATAACAAATTAGGAGGCATCTATCAAACTTTCTATTTTAAATACCAATTTATAAAAGTGAGATTAGCTATCATAGTGAATAAACCAGCTTAGTACATAATATTTTCTGACAAAAAAAGAACAAAATATTTATTAAAATTTTAATTTTAAACATGAAGTTCATTTTTGTCATTAATGCTATATTTAATGGAGCCAATAAGTTTTAACAGAATTAATTCAATAAAATGTTTTAAATTTTAAAATTAAGTAATACATTATTTCTACAATTGTTTGCGCGACTGGTCTCGATTCGAAAAATAAAATATAAATAAATTAATCATTTGAATCTAAAATTTTAAATAACAATTACACTAAAAAGCATTCATTGTTGCAATTATATTAATATCACAAATGTAAAGTAACAAAGCAATGATAATAGGTGTATTTAACAAACAAAATGTTAAATTTTAAAAATTGATTATTTTAATATTATCAATAAAAATATTATCAAAAAAAATATTTTTACAATTCAATAAATTATCATCATGATCAAACTACAGTGGGTGATCGGTTAACGAACAGATCGGTTAATGAACAGATCGGTTAACGAACACTTTCACGAAAGATTTTTGTGTTCGGTTAACGAACACATATTCGGATAACGAACACTTTCAAGAAAGATTTTTTGTGTTCGGACAACGAACACATATTCGGATAATGAACAAAACGAATTCTAACGAACACTTCTCGGCCTGAAAAAAAAGTACTATTAAACGTTTGTTATCATTTTGCATACAAAATAACATCACTGAAAGGAGAAATATTTAAAGCATGCTTAGTATTGATAATTACTAAATGAAACTTGAATTAACAATGAATTTAAATTTAAAGGTCATTCAATAATTATTATTATAAAGCTTAAAACACTTCTCGTTTACCACTCTGAGAATCNAAATAAGAAAACAAATTTCTTTACCTCTTTCTTTATTCACAAGTTCAGTAATTGATGCCTTAATACTATCATAATGAGGATAAAGGGCTATAAAAAAATAATTTCATCAAAAATTGCAATTAGATAATCTTTAAAAATGTTTTACGGTTTGATATCTATAAGACATACAGAATAAATCAAATGAAATCACATTATTTAAAAAAAAATTCGTATATATATATATTGACATTCAACATAATGACAAAATTTCAATGTATATAAAGTTCAACTTGCATTTTTAAATTAATTCAGAAAATTTAAGTATTGTAACATTTATTTCATTTAATAAATTTAAAAAAAAATATTTTTTTTGAAAATTAATGATATTTTGTAAGAGGTTTGTGAAAACAAGCAAGCAAAAATGTGCAAAGAAAAGTGAAATCTTTTGGTTACTGTTCCTTTAAAATAACCAATGAATTATACTTAGTAATTTCTAACCCTGTAAGTATATTACATAATGACATTTTTTCTTAGTATTCTATTGATATTCACCAGTGTTATATTAGGTATTTATGTTATGATACTTTTAACAATTGATATTTTGTAAGAGGGTTATGTAAATAAGCAAGCAAAAATGTGCATAGACAAGTGAAATCTTTTGGTTACTGTTCCTTTAGAATAACCACTGAATTATACTTAGTAATTTCTAACCCTGTAAGTTTATTACATAATGATATTTTTACTTAGTATTCTATTGATGCTCACTGGTGTTATATTAGGTATTTATGTTATGATACTTTTAACAAATGTTAACTTTATTTGAACATATGCTAGTGAAATATATTTAAATTGTATTAAATAAATTGAAAAGTGAATTAAGTAGTCAAAACATTTTGAAACTGACAACAACCAGAAGAGGGAAAATCCTATCTTTAAATCAAATGCAATCAAGGTTGAGTCAAAGAATATAGAAAGGAGAAGTCCAGCTCTTCGAATACATATCCAACGAGGGGAACTGCTCAGTTCGGTACGCTATACCAGAAGAACAACATACAGGGTGAGCAACATACTCAGATTTAGCACAGTGTCATTTGAACTAAGTTCCAGAGCATGCGCATATGAAGCAAAGAGACAGTAAAGAGGAATGTCACCTGTGAACCTGTTGCCAGACAACTCTACATGCATGGTTGAGTAAACAGCTTCCAGCCAACTGCCATTTTATTGTTTCTTTCTATACCAAAATGTGTTACCAGATTTAATTAACATGAATGATATAAATGTAATTTCGAATGAAAGTCTTAATTAAAAGTACAGTACTGTTTGTCAATAGTGTAAAAACACAGAACAAACCAAAGATTAAAAAAAAGAGAAAACTTTTCTTCCTTATCTCAACGCTTTCCGATTCCTAGGGCTGGTTAGGAAGAGAGGAAGGGCAAACCTGTTTATAGAACCTTTGCTGTTGTGCCCCTAAATGCTATTTTTTCCTTCATACACAGGTACCACACCTTACCTTGGGGAACTAGTTTACATTATGTCAATGAAAGCTAAATTTCTTCCCCTATGCATGTTCTTTGGTTGAGTACTCAAATGAAATACACATATAAGTGACCCTCGCGAACCATTACTAATTTAATTTGATGATTATAATGAAATATGACCAAAATTTTATCTAAACTGAAAATATTTTTGTCAATATTTCCCTATGAAAAAAAAATAGTAAAGACATACTGAAAATAGGGATAATAATATAAACATAGTTGTCAGTAACTTCTTGAATAATTTTTCAATTATAATTCATTTTTTAGTTAAAATAAGCAGATCAATGTTGCATTTTACATTTTATAAGCAATTAATGATGGTTTTGTTTTTTCATTTCAACAATCTATGTGTTGCTTTTGTACAAAAAGTTTTTTTTGAATAGGCTAAGATGGTGTTTAGATTATTACATCTAAAATTACTAGAACTAAAAAAGAAATAAAATTCATTCAAGAATAATTGACAATTATAATTTTAAAAGTATAAATGGAAATTTCTTTGGAAAAATATTGCATAATATCAAATATTATTTCCTGTATTCATTGTTAATATTTATTAATAAATAATTATATCTGGCATTTTATTGTGATTATCATACCTACAAAAAAAGTGGATTAATTGTTTTCACGTCTAATTCATTACATTAATTCATATTTAATTTTTTCAAGCAAGAAAAAATACCTGCATCTGTTTGACTGAACTCCAGAATATCACTTTGAAGCCTAACAAGTTCAGATATTTTTAAATCAAGGTAATTGAATTTGCCATTCATTTCTTGAATCTAAAATAATTTAGCAGCTTTTATTAACTAAATATTTGAATACACAAACATTAAATAGCAATAACAACTAATAATTATATCAAGCTTCAAACAAAATTTCATTAACAAACAAACCATAATTCTAAAATTGAAAATCCAGAGTAGAAAAATGTTAATGATAATGTAAATTGGGTTTAGGTTTAACATTATAAAGCTTTAAAGCTGAATATTTAGAAATCACACATCTACTATGCAGTTTAACTGTTTATTGCTGATGATAAAATAAAAATACCTTCTCTAAATCAATTAGCTAATTTAACTACTTAAATGCTTTAATTATTAATAAAAAAACTATATCATTAATTAAAAAAATAGGTTATCAAATTTAAAAGACTAATAAGTAAGCTAAAATGATTAAATTTGAGTTATTTTAAAACTGAACTAAAACCTAACTCGTTCCTATAAATTTCTAATCCAAAAACTTCTAATAAATTCGGAAGTCCCTATCAGTTTATTCCACTGAAAAGTTTAGCCATTACATAAATCTGAATATTTGAATCTTATTTGAATGTTTTTCTCAAGTATATTCTAAAAAAAACCTTTGTCTCTCATCTCCTTTCTTGATTTATTGACATAATAAAATAGTAAATATTAAAATGTATGAATGATATAGTTTAACTTCAATATAGTCCAATTTTCCAATGACAAATGTTATTCCAAAGGACAGACTTTAAAATTATAAAATAGCACATATGCAGTATAAAAAAGCCATTAAACCCCAAACAACATACATTCAATACATATTCTTGATATTCTGTAAAATTCAGCTTCATAAATGATAATTACTCACTAAAATTAATTACCTTGCTTAGATAATCCAATATAAATTCTCCATTTTCATCTATGATAGGATCTTCAAATCTAGCACTTATAAACTTTGGTTTCTCACTTTTCTGAAAGAATAATAGATTACTTGATAATCGTTCATATTATACAGATATTTCAAAAATTAACATGCTTTATAAAAACAAAAATATTGTAAAAAATTCAAAAATAAAACAAACATGATGTTGATAATCAAAATTATTATAGAATATCTAAAATTTTCAACCTCAAATTTCAATGAAAAAATAGGTCACCTTTATAGAAGTTATAAAATAAGTTGTACGCTAGTTATAAGGGGATCTCCCAGCAAAAAATCCTGAACTGCACATTTGACATTTGCCTTTCAAAAATATCAACATTTTTATGAAACATACGTGAAAAAATGAAAAAGATTAACATTAGAGGGGGCAGATCGAAATATGAGCAAAGGGAAAACATATCAAAAACCTTACAAATTATTAAAGAATAAGGCAATACTAAAAAATCTAAACCTGTTTGATTGCATTGCAGAAGGAAACTGAAAGGAAATGAAAAGTTATTGAGAAAAACATATCCAAGTTTCCCCAAGCAATTGAACTAGTTAAAATGTCTTTAATCCCACTTTCTACAAAAGTGATTTGCCAATGTTTTTTTTTCTTCACTTGAAATCTTAATTTGTTTTTCTTGACTTCTTGATACTTTGTAACCCCTAAGGTGCAAGCTTCATCACTTCGTTTTTGATAAGAATTTTTATAATATATATTCAGGGGTGATTGCGAGCCCAACTCAAAAATCCTGAATTAATTTTTACACTACAAAAAGAAAAAGGAAATAGGTTAGTGCTTTTTAGCTGCAACAATTTCAATTCTAAAATCAAAAGGAATAAATAAAAATTTAGTACAACTCATAAAATAAATGTAAAAAAGTGATAGACATATGCAAGGAAGATTAAAAGTCTCTTACATTATGAAATTCTGCCAGTCTGTTTCTCATAGCCATTTTGTTTTCTTTTTTTCCTCTCCAAAAATAAAATACTGTAAGACAAAAAGATAAAATAAATCAAAATTTAATTTATAAAACTATTTTCAATTTATAGAATTAGTTTCAATTTAAAAGAAAAACCAAAAGTAATAAAAATATTGCATAATAATACGATTAGAACTTTTAAGATAAATATGTTTTCATTCACATTCTTCCATTTACTTAAACTTCTTATAAGCTGACAACGACAAAATGAGATTTTTTCCTAAGTTAGCATATAGTTTATCTAAAGTAAGAGCTCCCCTAGCCAATCATCTGGACAAGTGGAGGTGACAATGGTAATGAGGTATAACTATTTCAAGTAGGGGTGAGGGGGACACATTTTCGCTCGTGTCGGCGTGAGAAAGGAAATCCTTTGCTTAGCTCTATTAGCCCTGAGTGAAAAGAAGCTACTTTCCTGAAGTGGGATCAAAATATGTAGTTTTTTTTTAAATATTATTTCTCTTGCAGAAAAATTGCAGAGAATTCCCTTCTGCATCTATAAAAAAGTAAAATTTTAAATAAAGGATCTAAAAAAATTTTATACATTAAAACTAACTTTTAGTGTTTTGACTAAGGAGCTGCAAATAGATTTTGTTCTGAGGTCAGTAAAACCTGTGTCCAGCCTTGAACACTTCAGTAAACTAAACCATGATTTATTATATAAATAATTAAAGGCTAAGTTAATATAGGATAACTATTATTATTTTTTGTTGCTTTGTAATGGAATATGGCAGGGGTAGCCTGGATGGTAGGACATTGAGTCCATGTCTAAGAGGTCGTGAGTTTGATTTTGGTCAGCCAAAAACTCCCTGTGTAGTAAATGGTGACTAGTGCACATTAAAACTGCCAGGTCACAAAATCCTCTAATTTCCCATAACAAATCAATACCTATGGGGGTACTGAACAGCAGATTGATTGTTCTCTGGTACTGACCAACATTACAAACTGTAAGTGAATGGATGTATGTATAGGTTCAACTTTTAAAACGGGTTGTGACATGTGTATGGCTCAAGTTGTATTCTTGGACGTAGATGGTGCCACTTAAAAACTGGAAATGCACCCTCTGCACTTCACCAAGCAATCTTGCTGGTATTGGCAAGTAGCATTAGAGACAAAAACAACATATGTCAACAACATACATCATACTAGTACGTATAGGGAGAATCAACAGAGGATTCAAACAAGTCAGAAAAAAAGGAAACAAGTAAGATTTCATGAAGAAAAAAAAGCTAGAATAAAAATTTGCACAGCATGAATACGTATAAAATTAAAAGCTATTATAATTAAGCAGTCTTTAGACCGCTAGCATCTGTCAGAGACTTCCGGTGACATTTTGACAAGTTGCAAAGTGTTTAACATCCATTATTTGATCACTTTCGCATGTGACCTATTACACATTTTATGGATGGTAGCAACCTGAATCTGTTCAAATAACCAGCAAGACAGACATGGAAAACTCTATGAAAAATATGAGGCATATAAACATACAATAATTTAAATGTTACATAAGAAAATGAAATTCTAAGTAGAGAGTGGCACGGGGAAAAAAAGTAACACAGATTAAGGATTGTCAATCAAGATGTTCATCTGGCATTTACTGAAATTCACATAATACAGCTTGAAATTTCCAAGAAGATATGTACCTAGACCACTGGGTTTTCCAATGTTAAACCCAGTTCCTAAAAAGCATACATATTAGAAAATGTGTGCGGTATTTCCATACCATTATTTGTCTTTTCAAACTACCATCAACAAGGCGCCAAAGGGATTTTAAACTTACAGAATGTTTAAAAAAACAGATAAAGGTTTGTCCGGGAGTGGCTACAAGTTATACCCTTTAAGTTAGTTATTTTCTTGCAGGCTACTGCTCTGAAGTTACAAAAACTTAACGATCCATTTGGCATAGATCACAATAAGGAATTATTATCAAAAGTTTTGCTAGTGCTTAAGTAATAGTAGTACTAAACACCATTTCAAAGGTGAATAATTCTCAATTATTATTAACTCTATTAGTACTTTTTATTAGTATTAGTATTCTCTATTAGTATCGAATTCAAAGACAGTGAATACAAATTGGCAAATAAGCAGCAACCAAACTTCAGATGTTCCTTGTAGAAAACCAAGGAAATAGAGAAAACAAGTGCAAGCTAATAAACGAACAGAAAACACTTCAAAAATAATTAGAAATTATATAACAGAAAATAATTTAGTAAGTAATACTTCTTTATACTTCCCTATTAATTTGTTTGCAGGAAAAAAAAATCCTAGAAATTTTAGAGAGTACAAGTTATTGATTGAATAATTTAAATCCGATCAATGGAAAAATAAAAAATATATTTATATAATTGCCGATAAAATTAGCAGTTTTATTTCTACTTAAATTTAATATGGATAACGTTTACTGTTTCCTTAACATTTTTCAGAAAATCTTCAACTCGATACAAACTTTTACATTATTCTATAAGCTTCTATTCCAGCTTAAGAGTTTTGTACTTTTTAGAATCAAAATCACAAAAAGGAGAATGAAGAAACAAGACTGAAGAAATTGTTTACTATTTATAATACAGCTTCCGGTTGTTTATTTCTGCTTGACTTAAAACCGATTATATTACTATTAAATTTAAATTAATTTAAATTTCGTGCACTTTGCTTCTGCTATCTAGTTTAAGAAGCATGCTAGTTATTTTTAAAATTATATGAAGATAAATCAAGCTTATGGACGCATTTTTTTTAAAATCTGAAAATATATTAAATAATTTCAGCAACCAAATGATGCTGGTTACTTCTCTTACAGAAATAGATAGTAGAAAGCTTCAATTCATGTCAAACTAGATTATCAAAAATTAAAATCGATAGTAAACAAACAAATTTGTTAAGAAAAGTTTGAAAGCGATGTAAAGGAAATGTAGTTTGTTAGAAACATTCATTACTAACCAGATATTTTGCTACTATTATCAAGCACTCAATAAATATTCCTAAACTGTTTCTTTATTTACTGTTGCTGAAAGCTTTCTTTGATATAATGCAATCTTAGTGAAAAAAGTAAAATAATTTATGCACTTTTTATGAGAACAGGTTGTTAAAATCCCGTTGTTTAAAATGTCTGTTGACCGAGGCTTTACTTGGATGGAAGATGAGACAATTATATTAATTGGTATATTTTCGAGATCTGACATACAAGAAGAATTGCGTGGTGCAAAAAGAAATATCACTGTTTATGAAAAGATTGCTGGTGAATTGTCTTCAATCGGCTTTAGTCGAACTGCTTACCAATGTCGAGAAAAAATTAAACGATTGCGAAAGGAATACCAACACATTAAATACTGCATGCAAAATAATTTAACACCAAAAAAACCAATGAAGCATTATGATCTTGTTGATAGTATATTTAACAGTAATAATTCATCCGAGCAGGTAAATGCCGCTGAACAAAATTTTCATACATCTGAAAATGAAGAGGATTTGCAATCTTCTATATCACATGATAAAGAATCTGATGCATCAAACAGTTTCCCTAGCAATGAACAAATTTATCCTCAAAGTATTTTGCCAATTTCCTCACCCTTACCAGAACTTGATTGTGACAATTCAGAAATGCTATTGGAAGTTAAACTCACGAATTCAGCATTAATGACACAAACTGATAGTGATAATACTTTATTTTTAAATGGGGAACAAAGCTATGACTTGTCTGATAAAGGTAATGTTAGTTTTATTGATTCATAATTTTTTTTTGATTATTCAATTCTGTTTACTTATATAATTTTTAAGTATGGTTTAAATTCCTTTATTTATTATTCGAATGAAACCTATCAAGTTGATCTCTATAATCAATCAAGAACCAAATTTTTTTACCAATTGCAATTCAAATATTGTGCTATTTTCCTTTATCCTCCCCCCCTGTCAATGAAGATCAAACCTCCAGAATTTCTAGAAGAAATATATGTCCAACTTTCTCTTCCTCCAAACTTTTATTTCAAATGTTCTCGTAAGCTTTTTTTTTTATTTCTAAAAAAAATTTTGAAACAGTAAAAAAAAAAAAAATTCTTATGTAAACATTGCTCATACTTCTCTTCTTTCCTAATCAACAAAGATAAGCAAATTAGAAATGTAACGAATAGTGATTTAACCAAATGCAGAATATTCGGCAAAATAAATGGTGGCATACCAAATATTTGCCTGTTGAATACCTAGCATAATTTTTTTTTTTAAAAATATTTAATAATTAATATTTTATCTATAAATAATTTAGGTTATTATTGAATAGTAATGAAAACTTAGCTATATTTTTAGAGATATTTAAGATGTAAAAAAAAAAAAACTGTCTAACTGCAATAAATATTTATGTTAAAAAGAAGTTGAAGTTGTTAAGTTGAAAAAAAAGAAAAATCGAAGAAATCTTTTTAATTTTTAAAACTTAACTTTAATGCTAAAATATCTTCTGCAAAATAGTATCCATTAAACAGTAAAAGAAATAATCTATCAGAAATGTTTTTAAGAGTGTCGCACTATCATGAAAATGCCCATGAAAACAAAAGATTTTATCCAAAAGNACTAAATGTCAATAGTTATGCTTAGTTAAAGCTTATTGTCTGGCATATTGGCGAATCATTAAACAATATTAGAAAGCAGAAATTCTAGTTGTTGAAAGGTGCCCCATGTTGAAATGTACCCCCCTCTCCCCTATCCATTAAACAGTAAAAGAAATAATCTATCAGAAACGTTTTTAAGAGTGTCACACTATCATGAAAATGCCTATGAAAACAAACGATTTTATCCAAAAGCGAAACGATTCAATCTTGAAAGAAATCTCAATTCTTGAAAGAAAATTTTAAAGCTAAACTTCTCAGATTTCCAATTATTGCATTTTATTGTATATTATCATATTTTATTTGTTTTCCAATTAGTGTATAAAAACGGTGATAAAAAGAGCTAAATGGAAATTGAAATGATAATCATTTTTAATTTTTAAATGAAAAATTTAGCTCTAAAAATCACAATTTAACTTTTTCATCTTGCCATGCCGAATGAACACTATTCTCTTAAAAGAATAATGTTCGTTCGAAACACTCTTTAAAAGATGCTGTGCCATAACAAAAAGACTGATAAAAGAGATAAATAGAAAATAATTGTCCTTAGTTCTTAAAATATAATTTAATGTTGAAAATCGCAATTTTCTTTGTTGTTGGTTACATATTATCATACAGGGAAAAAGTGACAATAAAAGAATAAAGCTTCTCAGAAACACTCCGTAAAAATGCTAACCTAGAATTAAAACTGAAAAACAGCACAAAGTGATCAATCTGAATGTAATCAGAAGTACAAAATAAATATATATATGTATACTTTTCCAAAAAATTACTTTCCAGAATATTTGGCTGATTGTTCCACTGAATATTTGCCCAAATATTCGACCAACTGGCAAAAGGGCCGAATAGGCTAAATAATCGTTACTTATCAAAGCAAATCACAGATTTTCTCCCCCTCGTTAAGTACTTATGTAATGTTTAAAAGGTCACCCACATAATAAAAGAGAGAAAAACCTTTATATCCTATCTAACTGTCTATTTTGCATGTTAACAAGTGAAATAAATAATTTTAATGAAGAATATTATTCTAATTCCTTCATAAGTTGCCCAGAAATAATTTTTTAGAAATATTTTTATGCAATTAGGTTTTGCATTAGAATTTCTATGAATTAATGAAATATCATTAATAATTAACATGAGTCCCTTTGGGAATTGATCATATGGAGAAAATATTAAGTGGTTTTTGTTTCATTAAGGACAACAAATTTGTTGTGTTGATACAACAAGCAGAACTTTTGACCAAAGTTCCAAGCCATTTCAAGACATATTTTTTATATTATAATTTTTTTTTTAGTTTAATTTTATTATTGAAATTAGCAATTCTTATTATCTATTTTATCATATAATTTAAAGTGAGAAGAAGTTAAATAAAATAAAAAGAAAGTCCAATAAGAAGTTGAAAAGAAGTTCGATAAAATAAAAAAATTAACAATTAGGAATGAAATTCTAAAACAGCATGAAAAAAAACTATATTTATTTCAATACTATAGGCAGAAATCTGAAGTCTTATTTGGGTTCTGCAAAAATAGAATATTTTAAGGGCCACCAATAAGGTAGTGATAGTTTCAGTGCTATATTAAAATTATCATATAGAAAGATATTAGTGCTAGCGAGGTTTGTCACAGAAAGCATGAAAAAATTCAGCCATAGGAGGTGGAGAGGAGCTCTACCAAAATAAATTTAACAAGTTTGTCCTGTATTCCGTTAAATGCCTGAATTGGTTTGATTTTATTTGAAAACTGATTGGCAAGCCCTGCGTAATAATTTTTTTGAGCTATCTGCGACAAAATTCTAGCACTAATATTTTTCTGCAAGATACTTTTAACACTAAACATACCATATTCGGTCAAAAGACCGGTTTTTGTAAGTTGTATTGTATTGTATTGATAAGTGTTGGCATGTTTAGTGTTAATAATAGCAAACATATATGTTACCAATTTAAAATAACAAAAGCGCTGTGTTTACAAAAAAAGAAGAAAAAAACTATTATAATTTTTGTTACAATTGAACATGTAATAATTTTTTATTCTTATATTTTGTTGGGGTAAAACTAACTATTTATTTCCTTCTTCGCATTTCCTAAATACGAAATCCGTTGCCGAAAAAAAGATTGACGACGAAATCACACAAATCGGACTCCTCAAAAAGGGATTACTCAAGTGCGAGTTTCGTTTCAAGGTTAGAGTTGCTGTAATAAATGATATCGTATAAAAAATATTGGATTTGAAAACTATGGAGAAATCAATGGTAATAATTGCCAAAAATACGATGGAAGCCTAATCATTGCCCTAAGAAAGAAAAACTCAAATACACGATTTGAATTTTCCATATTATTGAAATATATCGGGATATTTTAAAACCATGTGAAAATTAATATCAGTAACTGCTGAAAATTAAATTGGAAAATTACATCTATTTGCGATACTATCGGCGTAAATTGAGAGCGTTAAAAAGTGATTATCTAAATGCATGATTTAAATATTAAGTGTAAATTTCTGTAGGAAAGAAAACTAAAATTGTATACTTTTCAAAAGAAAAATCGTTCTGCGAGAACTCGGTAACGTTCTGCGACAAGGTCGCTGTGTCGCAGCGATTCTGCCACGAGGTTGGCAAGTATATACCTCCTAATTGATTTTTGTATTTAAACCTCTGTTAATAAATGTAATTTTTTATTGATTAATTTTTTTTATCTATCGTTGTATGTAAGTTGGTTAATGTTTCTTAGATTCTGCATTAGAAGAAATTGATTCTCCATGGGTGCCAAATGTTGTTTTGGTAGAAAATGATTCCATGAAAGGTGATGAAGAACATACATCCGATAATGTGACTAACACGGAAGAAGAACTTCAAGATTTCAACACTTTAGAAGAAAAATCTACCATCTCAGGTTTTCATTCTCTTTCTCTCTCTCCCTCCCCCCTTTTAAATGAAATAAGCATTGAGAATGTTATGTCTTTCAGGTTTTAAGATTTTTTTTCCTGGAGAAAAAAAGTTATACATTTTATCTTCTAGTTCTTTAATAATAGTACAATTAAGATGGCTCAAAAGTTCAAACCTACTGCAAACAGTCATGTACCCTCCAAGATATAAAAAGTTGCACCCCCTCTTGCAATTGATTTTTGTTGGAACAGTGGTAAAATTGTAAGAATCTTACATATTGCTTTTTATGTAAATGAGGCATTGTTTTAGGGGTTAGGATGAATCAAACCAGATGAATCCTAAGAAAACCAGACTAATAGTATAGAAGTTATGATGGTTTTGTAGAAAACAAATTTTATACTGGTACATTTTATGCATCTAACATTGATATCTAGACAAGTGAAGCATTGTTTTCCAAGTATTTTTTTCACCCTAAATTGTATGGAATAAAAAACAAGTCAATTACACTAGTCTTTTAGAAATTACAGGATTTTTTTATATATATATAAAAATTATTATTTTAGGCATAATAGGTATTTCTTTGTATATGATTTTTAACTGAATGAAATGTGACCAAACTCAAGTTGGTCAGACTATAAGTTTAGGATTTATATTAGGTTTTTAGATGTCTAAATTTTGTCAATTTTTGAGCTATCTGCACTATAAATTTACAAATTATTTTATTATAAATTTTTTCTAAGATCTATTAGTTTTCTGATTAAAAATAAGGATGGCCTTATTTTTAATCTTGCTAGAATTTTAAAAGTGTTTACACTTTTTACATAAAAATATTAATTCCAAAAAGCAACGTTTTGTGGTAATAATTTTTTAAAGCGAATCTTTAATGTTATTACTTTTTTCTTCATTATTAGCTTAGTTCAAAAAAAATAATTGTCATTGGTAATTTATTGCATCATGCTGTAAATAATCAGTGTACATTTATATCCTTGCTGCATCAAGTAATTTATTTGTCTTTATTTAATGTACTTTGTAATAATAATTAAAATTGAAAATTGTGCCAATAAACGTTTATTTTTTTTAAGTTATTAAATTTTGTATTTGATTGTTATTGTTTGTTTTCTGTATTGTATAAAGTAAAATGTTATTATATTATTTTTTTATTTATTAATTTTTTTAAATCATTTATTTAATTAATCATTTAGTTTTTTCTCATAGATTCTAAAGAACCTCCACGTAAGAAAAAAAAGTGCAATGTATTGAAAGCTGTTTTGGAAAATGTTGCTGACAGTTTTTTAAAATTTCAAGAAAATGCTGAATCTCGTTTTTTGGAAAGAATCACTCAGTTAGAACGTGAAAGAATGAAACGTGATGAAAACATGCAAAAACTTTGGTTGGAATTTGAGGAACGTCGGAGAAAAGAAGAACAACAGCATGAATTGAAAATGTTATCAATTTTAGGTCAATTCATTAACCAAATGACTCAAAATAATGTAGATCACGAATCTCTTTAACCTGTACATAAATATTCTGCGAAATATGATACAATTTGTAAATAGATTTTGTCCTTTTTGAAATGACTAAAATATTACCCAGCTTTTTTTTGTTGTTAATTATTATAGTATTTTCATCTTATATATCATTGATATCTAAATGGCATTCTTTCTAAATTATTACTTGCTTTAAGTACTTTATGATAATATTTAATATTTTTGTTAATTTTTTTTTTACATATGTGATATTGTGCAGTATCCCTATAAAAACCTAATGTGGCAAAATACTTACTTTACAATTATTCTTGAAAATCAGTATTTCTTTACTATGCTTAATGATATTGAATAATAACAGTAGTAATTACTGTTATTACTGATATTATTGGGAAAAGCTATTAATGATAGTAACTTGTGTTTTCTTAATTTTTGCACAAAAGTTTAAATTTATATTTCTTGTAAATATAATAGATGTAGTGTTGTAAATGAAGTTTGTATATTGATTTCCATTTTAATATTTGTATGAGCATTAAATGTAAATGCTTTTATTTTCTAAAGAGAAATAAGAAAAAAAAACTCATCTAAAGCTGTGGCTAAAATGTTATTATAAATAAAAGATAACATTTTAACATTAAAAAACCTTAAAAATATGCTCTAATAAATACATTGAAATTTGTATTGATCTCATTCCATTAGTGTCTCTTATATCTGTTTTACACTGTCATTCTGTAATTTTTGTGTCTTCTTCCAAATATATACATATCTTAATAGATTTATTAAGTGTTGAAGTTTTTTGAGAAAGTATTTTTTACATTAAGCAAACCCATTTTTATAAGTATAAACATGTTATACTCTTTTCTACCATGTTATAATTTTCTAATAATATGTTTGAAATATCCTGTATGTAATCTAAATTATAATTAGTGAAGAAATTAAAAAGAATAATTAGACATTTTGCATAGTTAATAGAAGATTTGCTAACGTAAACAACGTTTTGGAAGTTGATCTGCTAAGAATGCTTCATTAATATACACAACAGGTTCCTTAATCTTCTAAAAGTTAAAAAGCACACCAATCATGTATTATAATTTTATTTAAAATTGGTGAAAACTGACACTGCGCTGTTTTTTGTATTTTAATGTATAATTTTCCCAAGAATTTATTTCTCAATTTTTAAAATTCTGTAAATGTTTATTTGATTTTTTACCTGCCGGCAGAAATAAATGCCGTTTGGGTTGAACAATATCAGTATATTTTGGAAGAATCACTTTAAAATCTAATTTTTTAAATTATTATAATCACTTTTTATGAATATTATTAATTTTAACTATTATCATTTCATTGAAATTTTAAATGTTTATTTGTAATTATTTAATAATACAGATTATTAAAAAATACAATTTATTTAAAAAGACTATCTTGAAATTAATATTATTTGTGAACAAAAAAAAAAATGCAAAAAGGATGTGTAGTGATGCTCTACTGCAGAAATTAACTGCTGCTTTTGGTCACAGACGACTTAATATAAAAAATGAAAATTGAAAAATAGTGTGCCAATTGCTTCCTGATTGCCACTTTTTATGTTAAAAAAATGCACTCCTTGTGCATTTTATAATTTTTTTAATAATATGGAATTATGATTATTATTTTATAATATTCTGAGAATTACTTTATTTCTTGCTTCTTTATTAAAATTTTTCTTCATTCTAGAAGTGAAATGAATCTTGTAATGTTTATCATTTTGAGAAAAGCTTCAAAAGAAATAGCTTACATTATTAGTAGCAACAATTTATTTTTAATCATTAAAAGTTTTCGATTTTTTAAAAAAGGAAAACTATTATTGTTAAAAATGCAACTATTGGCCAGTAGCAGAATTTACGGAGTGAATCTAAAGCATTATCTTCATAAATCCAAATTCAGCTGTTACCTCACTGTAGTCAGACAGAGATTATTATTTTAAAAATTCAACTGAATCCAACATACATGAAGCAAAATTTGCAAATATAAATTCCTCAAAAATAATACATGAAACCCAATGTTATTTACAGTTAAATTGAATTATTCAATTATACTAAAAAAGGAAATAAATCCTTATATGGTTAAAAAAATTACAGGAAAAACTATTTGTAGATACTGTTATAATCTGCAGCGACCGCTGCCATGCTCTAGGGTTTCTGCTACCAGGTCTATATAATAATCCACTGCACAATTCGAAGTCTAAGTATCTCATAGTCAGACATTAACGCTACCATTTTACCACTATTTTTTTTAATAAAGTGAAGATTAAACTAATAATTTTTTTTTCAAATGCATTATTTTTCTTGGAATTGGCTTGTTAATGCTTTTTATTATTTTAAGTCTATAAGGAACTGCTATCCTTGACTACTAGGAGGTTAACAATCAACTAGGGGGTTTGGGAATTCTGAAGGGTGCCTGGGTAGTTGTGATTGTGAGGGGATGAGCTGCTTGACATTAATGTATAGGAACTCATTAAAAGTCAAAAGGAAGGATTGTTTACGATTTTCAAGGTTTATTTAGAAACATGTCCCCTGTGGTCTTAGAAAAATACAAAATCTTCTTATTTGTCACAGATTTGTGGTTGAATTTTTCTTACAGCATGTTTTTATTTTTACTTCCCTATTTTTCATTATTAAATTAAATAATAGACACTAAGCTGATGTCATAGTATTTCGTCAAAGAAGTTGTACTAGCTTCCATGAAACATTGCAATATAAATGTTAAAAATGTCCTGAATTTCCATTTTCTTTTCTTATTAAAAATGATGTGAATTTATTTTTGAAATTCTTTGAATTAATTTTCCATTAAGACAAATAATTTTTTGTGGTTATTGTTTACTGCCAAGCGTTTACTTTCTCCCAAATTACAAAAAAATATACTGCTAAAACCGCTATGCCTATGAGTCATAGTATTTGGTCAAAGAAGTTGTACTAGCTTCCATGAAACATTGCAATATAAATTTTAAAAACGTCCTGAATTTACATTTTCTTTTCTTATTGAAAATGATGTGAATTTATTTTTGAAATTCTTTAAATTAATTTTCCATTAAGACAAATAACTTTTTGTGGTTATTATTGACTGCCAAGCGTTTACTTTATCCCAAATTACAAAAAAATATACTGCTAAAACCGCTGTTGTGTAGAGCTTTGAATTAATCAGTACACTGCTATTTGTATGATAATGTGCTTATCATTAATTCATATAAATCTAGATCCTTGAACAAAAATGTTAATATTTTGATTATTTAATGAATTTTGTAAATTTTGTTTTAGATAATGGTATAGTTTTGAAGCATTTTTTCATTTTCCATTTTGTTCTCCATTATTCTATTAGTTATTTTTCAGTATTTATTTTTTTCACTGTTTGCTTATTATTGGTGATTGTTGGAAAAATTATTTTAAATTGATTGAAATTGATTTGAATATATTAAGCTTAAATTTGGATATGAGTTTTAAACAAAGATTTACTTAAGATTTAATTAAAATTTTGAAAAATAAGATAAGTTTTTACAAAAGTTCCAATTATAAGTTTATCAATTAAAAGAACTGATTTTAATTCAATCTAATACAAAATTAACATTACATAATGCATACTTTAAAATGCCTTATTTATATTATTTTAAATGCTGTAGAAACTTTATACAAAGGTGGAGCAGAAGTTTTTTTGTTTTATTGTATTAGTTTTCTATTAATTTTATCGATTAATTATAATATTAATTTCGTTTTTTTTGTACTATTTTCAGTTTTAAATTTTGGCACAACATATCATATTTACAAAGTTGAAAAGTTCTATGGTTTTTAGACTTAAAATGCTAAAGGTAATAAACTATAAAATTATTGTTTACAAAAGATTCCTTTTGGGTAAATGAAGTTTGTAAATTTTATCATCTACATACAATTAGTTTGATAATGCTGTTATCTAATATGAGTGATTCAATAGTTATAATCAAACAATATCTTAGATCTTCCTGAACGAAATGGACTGTCCGATTTTACCTATCATATTTTTAAGTAATTGTTATAAAAATAAATTTTTAATTCAGTATTCATTCCCTTTTAAGAACCAAGTTATATAATTTAACTCTAAGTCAGAGCTTTTTAACCATTATTTACTGCAAGTACAGTTTCCAAAAGTAGCTTAAAAATAGATTTGTTGTTTTGTTTATTGAAGTAGAGTGTATATTGAAGTATATTATATCTATTGTCATAACACGATCAAGACTAAGTTATTAAATGGCATGATTGTTGGTAGGATTTTAATTAAATTGAATAATCTAAAATTTAGTACTATATAATGCATAAATTTGAGACCTAGACCAGGTAACAGTCAAAAACATCTAGGTAAATAATTTATTTTAAAGTCATTATACATAGTAATGTCTGGATTTTCTGAGTAGTTTAATTTTAATTACTAGTCACTCTTTTGATTACCTAAATCACTTTACTGGATATTTTAGTTGACTTATTTTAAACTTAACTATTTTGAATATATATTTATATTATATTTTGTACAAAGTAAATTTTTAAATGAGACATTTGAAACACTAAGTTAGCAAAAAAGAAAAAATTCTGCTGGTGCTTATTATGCTCTACTTATTTTGGATTTCTTTATTTAAATTTTAATTAAAGGGCCAACCACAAATAATGTCACACTTGGAAAGGTAGATTGTGACATTGATAATAGGAAGAGTGACATCACATAGTTCGATTAATATAAAAATATTTTAAATCAGCGAACTTGATATTTTTATATTATTTGTTTTCAATTCTTGTTTATTTGTTGTATTGTTATATGTTGCATTATTTGTTTTTCATTCTTCACATTTTTTCTTCATGTTTTTTATTAAAATAAGTACACGTATGATTTATTATTACGTATGTTATTGCTATGCTCGTAATTTTCATTAAAATACTCTGTTTAAATTTAAAAATAAAGCTTGAAATAAGATCTATAGCTTTACTAAAGTTTGAAATATGAGCTGAACAGTAGGTATAGGATATGTAATATGACGTAATAAGTGACAAGGGAGTAAAGGGTGACATGAAGTGTGATTCTTTGTGACAAAGTAGAGAAGGTGCTCAAAATTTTGTGGAAAAAATGTCATATTTTGTTATTTTTAGAATATTCCCTAACAAATCATGTGATTTTCTTATCACATTCAAATTCTAATTTTTCATTTTAAATTCTATTGATAATCATTTGCATGAATGCAGAAAAGTAAAAATTATAAATAACTATATTAATAATAATCATGACTATACGTTTTATGTGTCGAAAAAAATTATTTTGGTTTTGCTCTTAATGTTAGTTTGTTTGTTGAACAGCAGAAATTTGTGTAGCTATGGATCTCAATGAATCCCTGCGAAAACAATCTTTGTCCTTTATTGTTATATTTTTCTTTTGTTGTATGAGGGTTGCTATTTATTTTTCTGGCCTTGGCAACAGTAAGTGTTGCTAGGCGACCGCAGACGATTTTAATCGAAAACACCCCTCTAAAAATTATGGTCA